GTCAGATGAAATGAACGTTCCGTTGCACACTTGTGAAAATATTAAAAATAAAATAAGTATTCATTTGTAAAGTTTTAAATTTATTTTGCTTATCGATTCAGTTCATGCATGTAATATTATTACTCTCAGAAATGTATTAAATTTATTGACTATTAAAAAAGATTTTCATTAAAATACGGTGTCATTAGTCATATTGACAGCAGATGTTGAGGTAAATAATGCAGTTAATGATTGAACAGGATAAAACAATTATAATTCAAAGAATTGAATAAAATAACAGCACAACAAAAAAATAACAATGGCTATGTCACAGAATATGATTATAGGTTGTTGTGTGGGCGCGTTAGCACTCTTAGTGTTGGTAATATGGGGAATATTCTACATTTTTCCTTCCCTACGAGGTCAAACAGGTGCGGAACTTGATATTACATAGTTTTCATCTATTTTAGAGATTCTTTATTTATATTTATTTATTTAGATGGCCCTATTTTCGTGACGGGAGATGGTCAATGCATATATCCTTTGCCGATTAGCGATAAGCGCTAGTACTGAGTATGTAGTGTTGGACAGATGAAATGCCCGAAATAATAAAGAAATAGTTTGTCAGAGTATACTTTGCACTTGTATTCTATAATGGACACTGGATTCGGATTATGGTTTGACACGCTACAGAACTAAGCAAAGCTTATTTAACTTGAGTGATTTATTTGCATTGAAAAGTTACTTTGTTCGTATATAAAAAGGTATTTAAAAATATATAATCTATTGGAGCGAAAATTAAACTTAAAAAAAATCATATTTATAAATTTTGTATGTCAAATACATCTTAAGTATGAAGAAACATCAAAAACGTAATTTTTGTAAGACTTCGCGTTTTATATGAATAAATATCATTGGTTTTATTTTATTTGAAAATTGGTTCTTTTTTTTTCATGTCTGTTTCAATTAAATTTACCAAATAATAGTTCAATAGATTTAAACATAACTTATTATGTTAAAATATTGCGTTACTTGTATGTGGACTTTGTGTTAAACACAAATGTCATATTCAATTGATGGGTATGAAGTCTGATGTACTTGACAGGCCCAGATTCAAAATTTGCTAAAAGGTCTTCCTTCTAATTGCTGCGAAGTACGATATTCTTTGATTTAAACTATAAAAGCAGATCTCCCGCAGAACGAATTTATCGTCTTGCCCATCAATTAGTTAAACCAGTTATTCAGATTTATTCCCATATCTAAACTATGTACGCTTTTTAAGTACTTTTACTGGCAATTTTTGTAGGTTTTAGAGCCTAGCTGCGGCCAAGTAACTACTTACTGTTTGAATTAGGGCTGGCACGACGTCGGAAGCACCACTCCATCATGAAAGATCGGTGTAAAGTGATATTTAATGGCTGCGTTTCGTCCGATGAGTGAGAGAGACGTTTGTCTTTTTTCTATTTTCCCACCCTTTCCTCTCCCTCTTACACAATCAAGGGCGGCAACACGTCTGAAACATATGGAATGTTGTAGATGTCCACGTGGGCTCGTGTCCAACCTTTAAAATAAAAAGAAAAAAGGTTTTTTTCCCTAAACAATGAATAGGGTTTGCCTGTCATTCCATCTGTTGGTTTCAATCAATCAAGACAACAACAACAAAACAAATCCTTCATTCACATTGGATAATTGATGAAAGAGTTTCTTAAATAAATCAAAACAATTTTCGCATAGCACCGTAGCTAAGTGAATGTCGTCATAAATATGAGTAACAAGACCCATGCATGTTGAACCGTTCCATAAATGAAACGTCGCTCAATGAAGACTGACTGAAATGTATAATGATGTCAGCTATCTACTTTAGATATTAAAATAATCTCATTATTTCGTGCGACATAAAAAAGAAAAAGACGAATCCAACAACAGCTTATGCTTTACAAATTTTGACTAACATCGATAATAACTGTAATTATTGAATGTTCCATAGAAGATTGGCTACGTATTCCCGTTAATAATAATTTATAATATAATACCATTGGGACCAAACACAGACGCAGAAAAATCGTTCTTATTCTTTGAAGGGTCGTAGGGAAGCAGGAAGCGTATCGCTTCTTTAATGAAAGGAAGATCTATAGCAAAAATAGATTTGCCATGCCAGGTGATAAAAAAATATGGAGAATATATATTTTTTTGTAATTCCCGTGCACTCTCAAAAAGTATATCCTATAAAATACTCAGTCTGACCCCTTTATGCCTACGCTCAGTGGTGACTAGATGGGTTTTAACGAAAATTATAGTCACTTATAAATCTTTTGCACGTGCTTTGTATGGACAAAAAAGCTGGCGTGGCGCGAAGTAATACCGTATTTTTTCTCACTACTTCTAGATTTTTTGCTGCCCCGTTATCTTTGGACTTAATCATCCGTCAAAATTGAAGGTTCATGGATACTTCGTTACTTCACTGAAGGCGGTTATTGCATTTCAAGAATACAGAATAAAAAATATGGATCATGGTATACGGAATATTCTTTGCGGTAAAAAGATATACTATGTATTTCGTATGAGTTAAATTCTCCATTGTTAATTATTATCGTCTCATTTGAATTACCTTCAAAATCTTTAACATTTATGTATATTGAATGGACACCTAATAATAAGGCGGCCAACTTTCCGAAAACTGAATGCGGGACTTAACCTTTCGTGAATGGGGGGGGGGGGGGGGGGGGTTTAGGGATTGGGAACGTCTTTGCAACTGCCCATATTAAATTTAAGTACTCTCTTACGCGTCATCAGTTCAGTAGAAAGAAAGAAAATGAGATTATCGCGGGCGCGATACGCTTGTCCCTATTATAGGTAATCTGTGTTCCTGCACTGTTGACCGTGGTATGGGTGTTGTGTAGAAGTGTGGTAGAAAAATAGGGATGCGGGACGCATACAACGTTTTGCGGGACTATTTTGACTAATAATTTCAAAGCGGGATTTCGTCTAGAATTGCGGGACGGTCCCGCAGAATGCGGGACGATTGGCCGCCTTACCTAATAACATACTAATATAACGAGTTTTTCAGAGACTGACAATAGGAAATACGTCGAAATCGATCGACAGATGATTTTTTCGTGCACTCTATACATGTGTGGAAGAAAACTGTAGAGGTAGGTGAAATTCTCGCAATTTCACTTGAGGTTTCGAAAGCTTTTGACATGGTTATGCAATAGCCTCATTCCTAAGATTTATATTTTATAATATGATATATCCCCTGGTCTGATTGCCTAAATTTTTCCCTTTCTGAGAGACCTTTCTTTAAAAGTAGTTGTTAACAGATGATTTTCGAAGTCTGGCGATCAATGCATTGCTCTCTCTTTTGTGCAAATCTATTTTTAGTTTTTACTGGATATTAAGTTTGTTACTGGTTGTTTTTGGCAATGGAATTCAAGAGTTGTAAATAAAGGATAATAATGGTAAAACTTCATAATGTAATACTTCATATTATGTGTGATACTTATATGAATAAAAAAAATAACTTCAACAGGTACATATTTATATTATTTTGAAGATTGTTTTTGTTAGGATCCAAAATTAACAACAATGGAAAGTAATGCTCTAGTCCAGGGTCACGATCCACAGATTGATAGATACCAAATTCTCATTAAAACCAAATTTTATTGAGAAGGATGTTTATTTTTAAAAAACATGTCAAACTTAGAAATTAACAAAACACTGCTAGTAGTAACTTATGAAAACTTTACTATAAGACTTAAAATTAAAAATTTGTCGATATAAGATTTAAATCTGTGATCTTTAGAATTTAACTTAGCTAATATACATTACACTTGCTGTATGAATATCTTAATATTGTTCACCATATTTGTTGTTGTATTTTTTTACAGAAACATCATTTTATTTTATAAATTAATTGAAAAATTATGTTCAGTGAGTGCTGTTTCTTCAAAAAAATAAAAATTGTTAGCATTTAAATTTATATACCAATTTTGAGTTATATGTGCATAATACATTTAATATAGTGAAATTAACAATAATACTTTGTTTCAATAAAATAATTAAGTGAAATTGTTTATAGGATTCAGCTTCTCTTAAAACTAAAATTAATTTGTGTATAGTATAGATAACTTCACAAGTATTAATTATTACAGATTGAAAATGTTATTTAACAGCTTTATTTAGTCCAATGAATCACAACGAACATGCACTTTAAAGTGTAACTTATATGCGCAAATCCATCAATGGAATGCAACTTTTGTAACTTATTAGCTTTTGTGATATGGCTTAATTTACACTGGAATCGTGGAATATTTTGCCAATGTCGGCGTTTTAATTGTTGGACGAATTGTAATCTTGAGTATTGTGGTCTGTGTGGAGAAAACATAAAAGCTTCACAACTTTTAAGTTATAAAAATGAGAAATGACAGCTGACAGTGAAAAATTTAAGAAAATGCGTTTCATTTTACCAATTTTTTTTTTTAATGCAAAGTGTTTCTAAAAATATACGAATAAGACGATCGTCTTAACGTCGTTTATAAAGTAACCATGTTTAAGGATTTTATATGAAAAGAAGTGATGTTGCTTTATTATTCAATTGGTATTTAATAGTAACAATTGTGAAGTTTCTACAAATTCTTTCGTATACTATAATATGTCACATTACATATGTCATATCACTTGTCAAATTCCGTTTTGCACCACTATTTTTGTAGTGCCTATTTTAGTCGCCAGTTGTCAGTTAGTAGTTAGGTACCATTTAATTTACTATTGTGATTAAAAAAATATAAATAAAAAGTTTACAAGGTAAATGATTTAATATAATCAAAAACTTCGCGTCGTGCGGATTAAAATAGTATCAGGGAAATCTTTTACTTATTATTTTATTCTGTGTCCTCTCGATTCTCGGGGTAAATCCCTGTTATTTTTCTGAGTCACAATCTTAAAAATTGTTTATAAATTTGTGTCATGTGCAGTCTGAATAGAGTGTATGTTGTGATGATCTCATAATAATACAGACAGCTATGTTCGAATCGAAAGATTTTGAGGATAAATTCGAAGATATATTTTCGGTAAGTTAATATAAATTAAATAAGAAAGTTAAAAGAGGAAAACAATAATATTGAAATTGCTTTTAGCACAATAAGACTATAACTTTAAGGAATATATATAAGTTATTATTTATTAAATTACTCATAATTCATTAAAGATAATTTGATTATAGTATTTGTATGCAATGTTGCGTTTGTATGACACAGTTGACTAGTATCACAGTTGCTTATTGTGCATTGTTGTTATTTAGTAAGTGAACCATTCATTTCAAGGTTAAAATTCTGTTTTCCTAAAGGAATATAATTATAATTATCAAGCAACAAGATACTTCAAGTTATTGAAATATTAAATACTTTAAATTTTAATATTGTTACAATTATTACATCAGATAATGTCATGTGAAAGTTGTTTCTGATATTTACTTATGTATTAGTCATATATATGTATAGATACAGGATGTAATGTGAAAATGTTGTTCAACAATTGTTTAGTTATGTATAATGTTAATATTATACACACAGGAACTTAATATTATAAGTCTTATCAATATATATTCAGTAATGATTCATTTAATTATAAAAATTATATATATATGAGTTTTAAACATAATTGTTTTATATTCCTTTATAAACTAACAACCGGATGATCTTAATGAAATTTATAACTTTAAAAACCTATTATTAGATAAGTATATGTATTTTTTATATTACTTTTAATCCGAGCAATCTCCAATGCAAATATCATTATACTTTTATAACCGAGACTAAACGACAATTAAATTCTGGGTTTTCCTTTAACATTTTGATAAGTAACAATTAGTTTTACATATAAATATAGCCAATATAAGTATTTTATTTATTAGTGATGTACCAGAAAATGAATATACAAATAAATCTGCAAATATCTCATCTATTCATACACATCACTAGTTTTTGTTTCATCATGATTCATATTTATTTTAAATATATTTATAAAGGAATTTAAATATGATTCATAGATTTTTTTAACATATAATATAATATGCATAGTAATTATGTTGAGAGGAAATCTGATAAAGAATACAGAGTGGCATTTGTTTGTTTGGCTCATAATAAAATTATTGTCATACTTTAAAACATAATGTTACAAGAATAAAAGTACTCATCATAAAATTTAAGTTGTTTTACCAAAGAATGCATTTAGTTTGTTATACATAAATATTAATTTAGTGAGATTCAAAACTTTTGCAAGTATTTATTCATATGATACTAATATTTTTCGGATTGCTATTCGTATTCACTTCATCTCATCTGTCTGAGATCATGTTTGATGCAAAGTAACTGCAAAATCAGGAATATGTAGTTTTTACAAAAAGATGAAAACTCTTAGCATCCAATGAATTAAATGTGCGAGTGGCGCGTCCACGACCCAGGTGTAGGTTTAAGGGACCCCTATCTAACGTTATACACTCACCTCCACTGTCCAAGCTCCTCTCTCTACCAAATTTGAAAATAACCTACTAGGGCTGTCTTCGAAATACATTCCAAGAATGAATTAATGCGAGTTCTAGACAGGACCAAGTCTTTTAATATAAAATACCCATAGTAATCCATAACATTAGTTTCATTTAAATATCATTTTATGTTTTCTAAGTAAAACCTATAGTCTGTATATCATTGGTCAACTATGAAACTTATGATAAGGGTATAGTTATCGTAATAAACTCATTTAATGATATCATTGGAACAGGATCATCATAGTAAATTTGATGATATGGATGGAAAGATCATCGGTTACATCTGTGGAGGGTTGCTGATCGTATTATTGGTGCTGATATGTTGCTGTCGGAAAAGGAGGAGTAGGGGGCAAGTACTATCGCGTAAGTAATACAATTTAATACTATGGTTTTGTCTGTATTTAGAAGCCTAGGTGACTATAGCTCGAACATGTGCTGGCTAAACCGGGAAAGTACCACCCTCTCACAGAAGATCGGCGTGAAGTAGTCTTTAAGGCCTCGGCCTCGAATTTTGCGGGCAGCGGAGCGGCAGCGGGAGCGGCAGGATCTTACGCGTATAATTAAATGGACCGACCCTCGAATACAGCGGTGCCCGCTGCCTGCTAGTTTGGAGAACAGTATGCGTTTCCGTGCCGCCGCCGCTGCCGTTCCGCTGCCCGCAAAATTCGAGGCCGAGGCCTAATGGCTGCGTTTCGTCCGATGAGTGAGAAAGCCGGTTGCCTTTGCCTGTTCTCATCCTTTCCTACCATTTGCTTATTCGGAATGTTCCCTTTCCTTCATTAAGTAGGCTTCTGCTCGTTTGCCACCTTTCACATAAAAATACATTTTTTTACGCTAGGCGTATGAAGCCGGTAAAATTAACGCTATGACTCAACCTTAAGATATGTTAGTTGCATAATCCTTGTTTGGTATTCAGAGCTATAGTGCAAGGTGAACTACCAGCGTTTCAATCCATTTACGGGATTTCAGCCTTTTCTTCCACCAAAACTGTCTTGGTATAACGGGTACAAATTGTTCTTACGGTATATTTGACAAAGTACCCATACGTCACACAAAAGTATACTATAAGAAGATTTTTGATAAATAATTCTTTACAAATTGGTTTAGATAATTGTTAAATAAAAAATAGCTATAATAGTGAAACGATTCACTGTATAACTCTTTACCTCTAAGTATTGTCAATTCAAAATCTCTAAATATATTTAAAAAACGATTAAGAACCCATATATTAGATGATTTCACTGATCTTGTTTAATATCACTACTGTTTATTATTTGTAATCTTAATTGTAGTTATAGTTTTTAAAATTTCCTTTGTAAACGAACTCTGTTCTTTTTTGGAAATAAACTTTAAACCTATTTAAAATATGCTTCAATTTCTTTAACTATACTATACCATATAGCTTTTAGGATTTAAAAGATTTCCGTAATTATTTCAGTTAAGTATAGAAACTTAAGAAACATTAGGGTAATTTTTGTGGTATGAGGACATTGCATTGTTAGTATTAGACATGTAATATGATCAAGGAGACTAAAGACAGAATTATTATGCGGCTTAAAATATTAAATAAATTAAAATCGTGGAATGATTCTTCGTAAAGAAATGCATCTCCATGAAAGTACATAATAGTTTGTTGACGAGTATTCTGTTAATATTATATTGACAGTTGTTTATCAATGATTAAAAATATTATAAAAAATATGAATTGATAATATTAATGGGTTGTTTACGAATATTACAAAAAAGTATTCTTTTCACAGCTCTGAAACGGTAATTGATTGATAAAATTGTAACGTTCCTTGCCAAAAATATGGTCCTAAAAATAGAAGAGACTTAGGCAAAGTCGTGGAGAAATATTTTTGGTAAATAAAAATATACTCCGAAAACAAAGTTTGGAACCTTATACTCTTTAAATTATCTTTATACTAGCTTTCCGCCCGCAGCTTCGCCTGCGTGGAGTTATATAGCGTTAGCGTGGATTTATATAGTGGTTATATCGCGTTTCCAAGAGAACCTTTCAAAAGTCTGGGATAAAAACTATCCTATGTTCTTTCTCAAGGTCAACTCTATGTCTGTACCAAATTTCATTAAAATCAGTTCAGTGGTTTAGGCGTGAAAGCGTAACAAACAGATAGACAGACAGAGTTACTTTCGTATTTATTATATTAGTAGGGATTATGAGGGATGACATACGGCTACTATACGAACTAGTTTTTATTTTAACGTTAAATTCTAAGTAAAATATCTGTTTTCTATAGTTTATACAGGGTGACTGGTGAATTACTATCAATATTTAAGGAGAATACTCGGTACATGATTCTCATTCGAATTATGTGAAAAAAAATAGGTACTTAAGTTTTTACCAAATTTCCGTATAAATAAATAAAGTATGGACACGTTCCAAGTGTTCCAAGTGTGGACGCGTGCGGCGGCGTGCTGATACAACACCACGCCGCCGCACGCGCTTGTGTGTGTGTGTGTGTATACCTAATCTGTAGGGTGTTCACACGATGCGTAATTAATTACATAACTTTTGGTTAATTTTACTGAGAAGTTTATTAATATTTATGTTATATTAATTATTATTTTGTCATATATGATCGTCAAATATCACGTCCTCAAGTATCGATAGTAATTCACCAGTCACCCTGTATATTGCTATCATGTTAATACAAAACGACTATTTTATGGTACGAATGCTGAATTTTTCTCCTTGATTATTTTATTTCATTAAATTTTCAAATATATTTAAAAAAATGTAGATATGATAAAAAATTCACCGTTTTTTTTTTCAAAGATTCTGCTGTCTACTGAGTTTAAAAGGTTTCATTATATTAATTATACGTCTTAATATAAATTATATCCTAATTGAATATGTAATACTAATAATATTCCTATATCGTTTAGGTAACTTTGAAAATATATGTATTGCAGAAATATTTCAGTCGACTACAGGCTATCGGAAGTAAAATTATTTACTGTGAATTGTATTTTAGATGTTGACTTTCATATTTTTTCTAGTGCACCGTTGTTCTGATAAAACAGTAACTTTTAATCAAAATAAAAAACCGCTCTAGATAGCTCTTTATCAACTGTATAACTCGGATCCAAATCTATTTTATCCTATCCTTCTGACATAGAAAATATTTCATTATCCCTACTAATATTATAAATGCGAAAGTAACTCTGTCTGTCTGTCTGTCTGTTACGCTTTCACATCTAAACCACTGAACTGATTTTAATGAAATTTGGTTCAGATGTAGAGTTGACCTTGAGAAAGAACATAGGATAGTTTTTATCCCAGACTTTTGAAAGGTTCTCTTGGAAACGCGATATAACCGAACTCCACGCGGGCAAAGCTGCGGGTGGAAAGCTAGTGGATACATATTTAAACACTTATATTTGGATACATATGTATTTGTCTTAATTATTTATTGCTTGTACACTAAATTCCGTAATTCCAAATTTTCCATGATTATTTCTTGTCATTTATCATATTAAATCTAATAGTAATTTTCTAACATGTCTCGCCATTTAATAAACTTGTGTAAACTGCCCTTCTATCACGTATGTATGTGTGTGTATATAAGTGTATGTATGTTTATGTTTTTCATACAGCGGCCCCAGCGACTGTCGTAACTACACGCGCGCCCTACCCTCAGCAACAGTATGCGACTTATCCAGGTACTACTATTAATATTAATATATACAACATTAGTTCCAGATATCATTGATATTATAATATATGTTTATTGCTATACAAAATCAGTGGTGGCCTAATGGTTAGAAGGCCTGCCTCTCGTTGTCGAGGGCGCGGGTTCAAACCTGGCAAGTACCCATGTGATTTTTCGGAGTCATATGTACTTTCTGAGAGTATTTAGACATCACTGACATACGGTGAAGGAAAACATCGTGAGGAAACCTGGACTTATAATATCACAATTATAAGTTTGAAATCACCAACCCGTCTTCAGCAAGCGTAGTTAATGCTCAAACCTTCTCCATGTGAGAAGAGGCCTTTGCTCAGCAGTGGGCTCTGATAGGCTGATGACGACGAATATATCTCACGTCATATACATACACTCGTCGTATGTAACTCGCTCTCACATATAATATTATCAGTTCCAGGTCCAGTGACGTATCCAGCACCACAGACTACTTACCCCTCCTTTTCCCCAGCACCCGCAGTTCCTCCCGCACCCCCGGGCCCTAATAACCCCCCTTATCCCACAAGCAGTTACCCCTACCAGGCGCCGTACATACAACAGCCTTCAATGTACCCCACAGCGCCGAGTGCACCAGAAGATAACGGTATGTAAAGGTTACACACACACAGACAAACACACATAATATAATATAAGGTATATTTGTATACATACACGCAAACTAAGACACTCACACAAGTGTAAAGCACTCACACAAACACGCCGTTCGTATGAGCATGTACATTGTACATTATAATATATATTCATAACTAGCTTTCCGCCCGCAGCTTCGCCCGCGTGGATTTCGGTTATATCGCGTTTTCAAGAGAATCTTTCAAAGTCTGGAATAAAAACTATCCTATGTTCTTTCTCAAGGTCAACTCTATGTCTGTACCAAATTTCATTAAAATCAGTTCAGTCGTTTAGGAGTGAAAGCGTAACAAACAGACAGACAGAGTTACTTTAGCATTTATAATATTAGTAGGGATATATTTGTGTTACATAATAAACTTTCTCATAATCGATTCTCGTATACATAATTTTAAATCGAAATTATATCGATATGAACCTAGGACCCTTAATTACACCATCGTTTTAAACTGAGCCATATGCTACTGTATTAATAGTCAAGAATTGATATTTTATTGTAGTTTTTATATACATATGTGTAAATAGCGAGTTCTATTTCGGTCGAATCATATTATTATTATTACTAACCGTTCGTTTTGTTAGTTTTCTTCGGTCTTGCTCCTCCGGGATGGAAACCTCAAGGTGTGTGACACATACACACACACACACACACACACACACACACACACACACACATCAATGAATACATGGTATTAATGATCATAATACTATATTAAAATATTGTCAACTAACGTTTTTATAAATAATAGTATTTGTCCGCGACTTCGTTCGCTTTAATTTCGGAATTTGTAATATATGTATATAGATGACCGGGCGAACTCTATTCCGCCTTGGAGGCCGTAAATAACCATCAGATATTGGAATTTATTAAATTTTCTTTTTCGATCGAACAATATTAAATATCCTATGTCCGTCTAATGATTCGAAGCTATCTCTCCACCAATTTTCATCTATATCCGTACAGTCGTTCTTGAGTTATAAATAGTGTAACTAACACGACTTTATTTTACATATATGGATGTAGTGTCCACGTTAAAAAATAATTGTATGCAGAAAACGTTTTTCTTTAACCAGTAAACGTTTTAAAATATCCTAAGTAAGAAAATATTTATTAATTTCTATCTCATCTATACATAATACTCTTTTATCTATTGAAGGATAAAATCAATATATAATCTTCAAGTTTGTTGACAATATAATATTAAATAAAGTCAAAACATAATCTTTAACAAACAACTGTATTTTCCGTCTAAAGTATTTTCCCAAATCATCTTAGTTTTATCACTTAAATATTCCATTATCATATTCATTTGTCTGTTAGTCGTAATCTCTTAAAATCATTATGTAATTTCCAACATAACTGTTAAGTAAATAAATCTATGTGTATATTTTTGATTTACGAAATATATATATTGTATATAATGTATTTAATAAGTTTTGTAAGAAATAACTAGTATTACAAATTCATTATTTTTCTCGATCTACTCACATTTAAAATCCACAATGACCATTAATACATTTTATATGTATTGAGTTGAATGATAGTGGACTTGTTCGTCTTTAATAATAATTATATACAAAAACAATTTTACTTATCATATAAATACATATTACATAAAAAATTCAAATCACAATAGTCTCATGATCTTTATCAGTTAAACATTTATCTAATCTTTGTTTTAAGATAAAATGAATTATATTTATTTTTATCTCGGTATGAGTCAACTTCATATAACAATAAGATATGGCGCCTATTTAACATTTCAGTGTTGCCAGTAATAAAAATTAATGTTTAAGCATAATTTATAGTGACAAAACTCAGAAATCAGAATATAATATATAGATAACACAAACATATTTTTATCATAAGCGTCGGCATTACAGATATGAGAATAAAATTAATTCAACTTATATATTAAAATAATTTACAAGCACGTATAAATGATAATAATTATCTTTGTTTTAAAATTAAATAGGAACAAAATAATATGAACTGTCACTATGTATATTAAAAGAATTTAAGATTATAATATATCAATCCATTGTAAATATCATTATATCTAAAAGAGGGTTGATGTCAGGCAGACGGCCGGTCGTAAAACAATTAATCAAAACTATTCATAACATGTAAGCCAGACCCTGGATAATCCTGGGAAATTGCCAGGTAGAAGAAGAAGATTGTAAATATCATTAGAAATGCATGTAAAACATCATACAACTATATTTCATGTTAGTTAGTAAATCATTAGTATTTATGTTTACATCTGTAGTACAAAGTCATAACTAAAACCTTAAAAAACCACGTGTATATTTTTGTCGCTCAAAATTTGCGTTTTTGACATCTGTCAATACTCATTTATCTCATATGAATTGTATTTGAAACAAAATATCATTGAAATTTTTTAATCTAAATTAATATGACTGATAATTCCTCCCATACTTACCTTGTATAACTAGTACGTTAAAATTAAATGATAATATAATGATTTCTTATCATTGACTTATTAATTCCTCACATAGCTTCATACACTGACAATTGACAGGAATTTGTACAGCTGTGTTGGGTTAAACTTTGAAAATATTATTTTCATATTTATCAATTGTTTGTATTTACAATTTTTATGATTTAGCCTAAACTTGTAGATCTTGTATTATTGTTCAAGCGACATATTTAGCTTTATCACTGTTTAATATTATAAATAAAACATTTGAAACGTTAATCATTTTAAAGTTACATCTCCAATTCGATCATGAGCTGTCAGAAACGTAAATTCTCAGCGGCCGGCTACAGACGCTATATTAAACTACAAGAAATTAAACAACAAAAAGTTTGTATATAATGAGTGATGATTAATATTTTTATTCTATGTTCCAGCTCTCCCACCGCCGTACGAGCAGGCGTGTGCAAAACCACCTCCACACAATCCTAACGCACCGTACTAACGAACATTCGATAATAATTAACTATATCGTTATTTTGTTTCGATACGCATAAAAGTATCAAAACAAATTACTAGCAAGTCTACGTCTATCTTAAAACTCAATGTTATAGACTAAAATTATAATGGAAAATATTATTTAGATTAAATACTCGATGATTGAATTAACGGAATTAGAAGTATTTTTTTTATTTATGTATGTTGGCTACATCGACCGCCATATTGTCAAAACATTGTTGTTTACATTCAGTGATGGCGGGAACCTCGCGTTTAACGATTTATTTGTAAGTTTTAAAGTGCTTTCGTTACTATATGTGTATATAAATTATATTACTAATAGTATTACTATGAAAAATATTTATTTTATACAGTAACTCTGTTGTAACTCTCAGCTATGGTAAATACAGTAATATTTTTAGTACTGGCTCAATATTAACGATTTTATATTGTGTAGTAATGCTGAATAGATGCATGATGCATGAGACATATTCATTATAGGCTTGCAACGAATATTATGTCTAACGAATTGACGAATACCGAATATTAGGTGACGTTATGTACTTGGGCGAATAGACGAATATTAGGTAAAGTATTTGATTGTATAACTCTAAACTTCATATTTGTAGATCGTTTATTCTATGTACTATGTTTTGGCAAGCTAGTCATTGTTTAAAATCTAACAAAGACCTATTTGTATTGTAAATTACGATTTGAATTTGATAATAATAAACGATTAATGATAGCAACCATAAAGAAATAGTTTTTGAGAAGTAAAATGATTACAAAAAGAAGTATTGTACTATGTAACGTACTCCTAAAGTTTAAATAAGGTATTTCTTCATAGTCAAAGGGAAATTCATATATTTTTTATGTTAAATTAAAATGATTAGTAAGGAGAGATTATAATTTCTTAATATTTATTTACTAGGTATCTATGTTACTTAGTTTTTGGCCAAAAATAAGTAATATTTGTTAGACATGTTATATTCATTGCAAATCCAGCTCATTTTTATTACAGTAGAATATTATCAGGGTCTCGTTTTAATTTAATACAATTTTTTACTAGTGCTGTTTAAATAATAATTTTTTTACACTAGTTTTTAAGACAGTGAAAACTATTAAATATAACGGGTTCGATTCCCAGTTAAGTGTAATAATAAATGACTCATTTAAACTATAAACTTCCGCAAGCTTTAAAACATTCCCAATAATATAGGGCACAGATATTTTAAAATTTATTTTTATCATAGATTTAATTAATTACTATGTATGGTTTCTATGGTAATAATCAATCTGGTACTAACTAATATTTAAAGTATTCTTATGATTCGCTATAGTGTAAGCATTTACAATTTTAACATGTTTTGTTAAAGAATTTAAGGTAAAAAGTATGTTTTTAAATTGTAATTTTTATGTGATAAATTTATATAGTAAATAATATAATAGGTGTCTGCATAAACTAGGCCATTATCAAATATTTTGTTTAAAAGAAATGTCAGAATAATAATACAACTACATATATGTATAATATTAAAAAATAGAAAAGCTTTGTCCTCATGTGAAACAGTACTATGAAACCTATTTAATAAAAGTTACTATTAAAGATGTTTTTTATTTTATTTCAATACCTTTGACCTTTAAATTTATTGAGTTTTAAAAAATACATATGTCTAATACTGAGATATATTATTCTTCAAAAGTCAGTGTTCTTTCTGTTTTCTAAAAATTCTAATGAAGTAAAAGGTCAATGTTTTTTAGTGCGTCTAAAATTTCTTTCATATTCGTTAGATTATATTGTTTTGATACTCGTGGTGCCCTCTTGTGGTTATTGGTGAAATTACTTGGTTAGATAGTATTGATGTTTGTTTTAGACAGTGGCCGTGAGATGGCGGTTTTTGGCAAAATTATAATTGAACACGACAACGTATTGTTGATTTCTTTCTTTCTAGTTTATGTCGGAATCAATAATTCATTAAAGTAGAAAAGGCACAATTGGTGGAATGCAGAATTAAAAACTTAGGTTTCACTTCACTGTTAGTTATTAAGTCTCCTAGTTAACACTGAGAAAGTGAGTGATTTTTGATGTAATGTGTTTTCGTATTATTGTTATTTTAAAGCACTTGTTGTTAGTTTTTAACTGAAACTTCAAAATATTATATATTTCCTTGACTTTTTGTACTTTTATTTTCACTTAATAATAGTTTAATTAGCGGAAATAGTTAATACATTGAAATTATACACGGAGTCCATGTTAACCGGCAACCGATACACAAAAATAATCCTTATAGCATGAGTCTGTATTCACGCCCGATGACTTATTATTTCATAGATGACTTTGGTGTTTCAACACCGATTTACATAATTCTTTTTTTATTGAATAGGTAATAATTTTAACTTTTTCTTTATAAGGGATGAGTGATAGTGTTGTAAACGTTAGAGTAGACAAATACAATCACAAATCTGCGAATTGCTAAGCTATCTGGAGTTTTACGTGTTATTGTGAGTCAACCATAAAATATAGACACATGCTGTCTAGGAATACTTTTTATAAAATTTTAAGGAGAATATTTGCGTCATACATGATTTCTATGTAGCTTTAACCTATAAGCCTGCACACGCGACGGAAGCTTAAAAAATGGAGTAACTTTTCCCGTTTTCCCAATATTTCCCTTCACTGCTCTGCTCCTATTGATTGTAGCGTAATGAAAAGTATACTATAACCTGCCCAAGAGTATGAAGAATAATTGTGCTAAATTTCGTTAAAATCCGTCGAGTAGTTTTTGTTTCTATAACGAATATACAGACAGACAGACAAAAATTTTACTGATTGCATTTTTGGCATCAGTAGCGATCCCTAACCACCCCCTGATAGTTATTTTCTTAAATATATTTTATGTACAGAATTGACCTCTCTAGAGATTTATTATAATTAGTATTGATTAAAATAAACTTAATCGGTGTGGGTCTGTACAATAATTGTTAGTGAAAATTGAAAACCGAGTTCATATAATATATACAGGGTGACTGGTGAATTACTATCAATATTTAAGGAGAATACTCGGTACATGATTCTCATTCGAATTATGTAAAAAAAATAGGCACTTAATTTTTGACAAAATTTCCGTATAAATAAGTAAAGTGTTGACACGTTCCAAGTGTTCAAGTGTGGACGCGTGCGGCGGCGTGATGATACAACACCACGTCGCGACACGCGTATGTGTGAGTGTGAGTGCATACCTAATCTGTAGGGTGCTCACACGATGCGTAATTAATTACATAACTTTTGGTTAACTTTACTTAGAAGTTTATTAATATTTATGTTATATTAATTTTTATTTTGTCATATATGATCGTCAAATATCACGTCCTCAAATATCGATACTAATTCACCAGTCACCCTGTATATTGAAACTCGGCATTCCCTGTAAATGTAGATCGTTAATCTATATGGGCTATCTTTAAGATACATTGATTACTATAAAAACTGGCGTTAAATTAAGTGTTTTTTGGTACACAAAACTTTTCTAATATACCTATCAATTGCGACAAAGTTCTATATCTTAGTTAATCTTCTATATAAATAAAAATGGATTGCTGTTCCTTAGTCTCGCTAAAACTCGAGAACAGCTGAACAGATTTATCTTATCTTAGTCTTGAAATGTTCGTGGAGGTTCAGGGAAGGTATAAAAGCTGAGAAAAATTGATTCATTACTGGGAAAACCATAAAAACAGCCCTTTTCTATTTCCCATACAAACGTTTTTTTTGACATTAGATTTGACAACTAACTAATATGTCAATCATTCTGTTGCACTTCAAAACACGGAGATTTATGGCTTTAATAGGTAAACTCCAAAAATATAAATAAAAAAACGTAACAGATATTTCTTGATTATAGGGCGATACGCAGTTCGCCAGGTCTTCTAGTGGTATATAAATATGTACGGGATACAAACTGGGTGGTGATGATTAATCAAACTACTAAATCCTGGCCCGGGCAAGTACCAATGTGATTTTTCCGAGTCATATGTACTTTTTAACAGTATTTAGACACCACTAATTAATATTAATGCATTCCCAACGAGGGTTAATGTCAGGCAGGCGGCCGGTCGTAAAAACAAATAGCCAAAACTATTCACAACATGTAAGGCAGACCCTGGCCAAACCTGGGAAATTGCCAGGAAGAAGAAGAGTGTATTAGAAACTCGAAACGTTTCGTATGTTAGTATAATATAGTGTACGGATACAATCTTGAACTAACTTCTAATCATACAGAACAGATCTTCATTTAGCACCTACTGAAAGTTCTTAGTGACCTCGCAATATAAAAGTGTTTTAAACTTAATGACTTTTCCAACATTTGAAGTGATTATGTATTTAGTTTCTATCTAAGTTGGTTGGAAAAGCTGACAATAAAAACTTACGTTACGGTCAGCGTTTTATTGGTTTTCATCAATAATATTAGAAATGTTTCCAATCATTTTAAACATGAAGTCTTAAAATTTATTGATATTTATAACGACTGTTGTTGAATAACTTTGACGAGTTCTATAGAAGACTTGTTAGTAATACTAAAAAAAATAAAGATATAATATAAAGATATAAAGGGGATAAATTTTAAAAGCGCGTAATGCGTATTGTTATCAATAAAAAAATATTTCAAACCTTTGTTTTATCTGAGATTCACCAGAAAAGGGCGTCTGAATGCAAACTACTTTTAACAAATATTCACTGATTTTAAAGAATTATTTGTGAACTACAATTTTGACTTTCTTGTTTATTAATCTCATACACAAATCTGTTTATTTGAATTTTCTAAAATTTCCTTGTTTTTCTTTTACAAAATTAGCGATGAAATTGTATTAAACGATTAAGAAAAAACAACGTCCTGTGAAATAGTAATAGTTACCTAAACTAAGACTGTTATAGCGACTAAAAATATTGTTACGTCTTAATCATGTTATTTTTAACTAATTTGTTTACAACTTTATGTGATAAACGTTTCCCAACAACAACTAACTTTTCAAACTTTCTTTCAAAGAGCAACAAATATTAAGTATAAGCATTTATCTGAGAAGTAACCGAAACGTCGGAAGTATGTAGTTTTTACAGTAAAAAAATACACGACGTAGTATGCATAATGAGAAAATATTAGTTTCATTTAAATAAAACTAATATTTAATTTATTTATTATATAAAATTTATATTTCTAGCTATAAATGTGTTTTATATTATTTTAAACTACATACGGCCAGAATAAATTAAAATTTTCACATCGTCTACCACTGTGACCACGGTTGCTGGAAAGTAACTGAAACGTCAGGAGTTGTCAGTTTAAAATAATAAACAACCCTAGGTTCAACCGAAAATGGAAATTTTATCTAATTATTGATCTATTCTAAAAAGTAATTTCATCAGAAATGACACATCGTTAAGTGAATGAAGATGACCTCGAATCTTAAAAGCGATGCCAAGTGAGTTAGGCCAAGTAGGTCTTATGAAGAATATATAACTATAATTAAGAATAATGCTTTCTTTTATTTCACATACATTCCTATATACAGTATAATCTTAATATATCTTAATCAAAGCGCTCGTTGAAATCCTTTTGTTTGATAGCTTATGGCTTTGTGTACATATATATAAAGTAGGTCACAAAAATAAACGCAAAAAAATATTCCACTCACTACATAAGTATTAATAATTTTATTCGTATAACGTAATATTTTAAAATAATTTAAATTTAATACTATAAATAAATATAAAGTTTCAAAATCTCGTAAAACCAAGATATAGTTTAGTTTTCAATAAAAGTTTAAAGATGATTATCGTCATACTTCTGAATATATATTTTTTATTATTTTTCTTATAATATTTAATAGTTTCCAATAATATATTATTTTAAAGGCGTCTATCACGCATGCTCAGTGTGAGATTAATCGCGACTTTTCGTCGCCACATCCTTGAACAGGGGTTGACAATAACTAATATAGAACAACTAGAATAAATAAATTAAACAATGAATACATCACTATTATTATCAAAAACTATAATTTTATACAATATATATTTCAAATTATGATTAAAAATAAATAGAATTAATAACTTTATTTCAAGTTTTCGTTTTAAATATGTTTACTGTGATAAAATCTAGTTATAACCAAAAAAATATATTTATAGATTAATTATAATACTTAATTTATATTATAAATAATTTTTTAATTCTGTTCAACCCTGGTAAGGCGCCAGAAAGTCGTTTACAATTGTTGCTTCGTCTGAAATCAGAAGAACAGGGTATAGGCCAGACTGAGTCGTGATATCTAAGATAGAGTGATCATCTATATATTATGATAAAATGTATTAAACTTTGTTATTCTTATAATAACAATTAAATAATTTAAATATCTTCAGTAATAGCACGTGTTTTATATATACTTATGAACAAAAGTGAAGTTTATATTCAATGGTTTGTAACTTCAATTTAATAAACATGTGATTGTAAAACAGAGAAGTTTAACGATTAAGTTATTGCAGAAGTAAAGTAATTTCAATGTAAGTATTAATTAAAAATTTAATAACAATTATTACTACCAATACTCCATCATAATGAGACTAAGACATTTCCGAGTATTCATTTAAATGAAACTAATATTATTCGGATTACTACAGTAATTTTAATATTTTTAAAAACTACATACTCCCGACGTTTCGGTTACTTTACAGCATTCGTGATCAGTGTACCTATAGTTTTAAAAATAATAAAATAACGCGTAGTAAACCGAAAAATATTAGTTTCATTTTAATACTCCAATATTCTTTCAATAAGATTTCGTCTGTACAATATTGAATAATTAGTTCATTATCAAGACGAATACATTTAATAATTCATTATCTTACTTAAAATGTAACAGTAAAGAAACTACATATTTGGAACTTGTGTTAAAAATATTGATTATTACTATTCAAATACATTTCCTTGAAGTAGTATGGATCTCATAATAAGTATAAAGTAGCCTTTCTTATGACCTTAAATGACCTTTTAACCGCGTTAAATTAGAGAGGTTTGTATATAATTTCTGTGCAGCATGGGAACAGCTTATGGTGCTCGTCCTCCGTCGAACACAGCTTACTTCGTGGCCCTGGCTGGAGTGCTGTCTCTGCTCTTACTTCTGTGCTGCTACTTCATATACTTCTGCATTCGAAGGGTCAAAGGTGATATAAGTTCAAGGGTCAAAGGTGATAAGTGTGTCAGTATTATAAAGGGTATATCTCCAAAGAATTCTACTCATAGGACCATGATTATAGAACGTCATTAAAATTTTTGCGAAATTATCGGAATATGATACATAATTTGAATAACATTATATACATACTGTATATTATCACAGTTAAAATTCTTTTATTTCCATACCAGTCAAGACATAATATGTTGAAAGCATTTTTTAAAGTTTATTTTCGAAACAAAAAAATATTTTGATTTTTAATGTATCGACGGCCATTATAACGACTTAGAGGAAATTATTGACACTACTCACATAAAAATACTACAAGTAGTTTCACTTCTAGGGCGTTCTAAAGAAATATACATAAAAAATCATCGAAAAACAAAAACATCCTTTCGCAGATAAAAAAATAAGTCATAAATTCCATTACAATCATCACTTATATTGTCATCTAATAAATAATTAATATTTCTTTAACAACAACCTTTAAATTACAAATGCTAGTTAAATATTTACACTGGAATGGAATTTACTTCGAATAACTGATCGGAATTCAATATTGACATTACTAATCATTACTACGATGATTTTCAACATAATATGTATATGCTGAGTGGCTTACTAATTCGGGCATCACAAATTGTTTTGTTTAATTTTTCATCCTTATTTTTGTTTGTATTTTTTATTTTTATGTTTGTTTTATATATATGTGTTCTTATATTGTTTGCATAAGATGTGTGTCCAAATATTATATTGATTTGATTTAATATATAGACAGGATAATTTTAATACTCTATAGCAAATAAAGCAGCTAAATCGTTCATAAACATCATATACATTAGTTAGTAACGATCTTTTCCTGCAGAACTATCTCAGCAGCCTCTGCCGTCGCCTGTGAAGTCTGTTCGTCCCCCTCCCCCCACATCACCCCCCTGCACCTCTCCTGCAAGAAGTTTCAAGAGCCCCACACACTACCCTGTACAACCTAGTAAGTATTTATATCCATAGTCGAGTTATAAGGTTCTAACAGTCCCATGTATGAAACAAAAGGACTATAGAAGGTTTATACGTAAAAACAAGCCTTTTTTTGGTGCTTCGAGACTATACGATCAAATCAGTGGTCTTTAATATCTGCAAAAATTTGGTAAACTGACAGTCTAAGGTAATAAGTAAAAAAAAACCTTTTTTTGCTACTTTGGGACTATTATATTACTAAATAATGATCTTCAGCATCTGTAAAAATTAGCTAAACTGAATAGTTTAAGGTATAAGTAAAGAAAAACCTTTTTTTTTTTTTGGGACCATTATACTATCAAATCTGTGATCTTCAATATGAGCAACAATTTGCTAAACGTTGTGTATTCTCTCAGGTGTACGTGAGAGTGCGACAGCAATGGCCCGCTTGTGTCAGTTGCCACCCTCCCAAACGGACACCGTGCATCCAAAAAGTCCTCGCACCCCTCGCACCCCTGGTACTCCTAACATCCCTGGCACCCCTCGCACCAATCGCACCCCTAATACTCCCCAAGTTCTTCCACCCCCACGTATACTTAAATCACCGAAACACCTAGCGCCTTCTACTCCTCCACAAAATGAAACTGTCCAAGCTCCATGATTTGATACACTTATATAATCCGTTCTATGTCTGCTGAAATTATTATCATGTATATTATATTGAATATAAAATTTATTTATGAAAAATCTCACGAAAAATACGAAAAAGAATGGACCGTGAATGGTTCCTATACATTCTTATGACTAACATTAGTGACCAATTATCGCTTTTATAGCTTTTATCTATCAAATATATCAATTTGTCGATGTAATGCTTTTGATATGAATATATAATAATCATATAAAAATGCTATTAACTGTCCGTTTGTGCCAAAATTAGATTAGATAGGTATAACTTAAAAATATATAACTTATTGTCGTGTCATAATCTTGTACATCTTATTATAATATTAGGGAAAACATTACTCAACGTTTTATAATACATAATTATTCTGATTGGGATATAAAAATATCTTATAGATGACAAATGCCTGACACTTTGAAAGATATTCTCAATTATTTCTTGGCATGATTTCAATACACATTAACTTCGGTCATCAAATTAAATTATCCAATTACATTACGTTACATTTTATGTTCCTCGTGGAGACTATTCTAAGGCTGAGCTAGGAATTGTACATTATTAATGTAATTATTATTATGTTCCTTATAAAAATTCGCCTAAAATCTTCTCCCAACTCATTCGTTCATATTTCTTCTTATAATAATATCTAGCTTGTTGTTTTTCAGTAACATAAACACACACGAAATCTCCACATTTGTCTAAACCATTAAATAAAGGGTATTTTACATAATAATATCCACAGAATTAAATGTCTAGTGTTCAGCCGTTACAATACCTCTGTCTACAAATCTAACAATCTTTTATAAACCTGTTTCTGATCAATGCTTTTCTATTAATTAATAAATTATTACAAATTTTTTACTATGTCTTTCATTTATATCCTTGAAATTACTTTGTTGTGTTAATTCATGCTGTTATAAAAATTATTTAACATTAAAATGGGACATTTTGATGCCAAATTTTGGCTGATTTATTAAGTATAATTTTGAATTAAATATAGAGGTTTTAAAAGGCCCTTTGTGCATTATTGTAGCTTAGCCTTATTGGCTGTGGGTAGCGTCAATGGTCCCCAGCGAGGAAGCCTCCGGGCGTCGGTGGGGAACCGGCGTCCGGGTAACATAGGCTAGAGGAAGAGCGGCGTGTTTGGCGTTCCCGGCACGCTGCTCTTGAGTCGGAGGGGTGGTGTGGTCAGCCACTGATACCCCTGCCGAAGGCGGAGTCCCTTTCGGGACTCGTGCGTAGTGAGCGGAAGTATGGCTTGCCGTTCCCGCTCACTAGTCTACGCACAGCGCAGAGAACGCCGAGGAGTTTAGTGGGTGGAAATCCCACACGCCCCCGCCGTGTTTTCCCCCGCGGCGGGAAGTCTTTGAAAGATTCTCCTCGTTAAAAAAAAAAAAAAAAAAAATGGGTAGCGTCAATGGCAAGTATTTTCGTATAAAAACATGCCTATCTGTACAAAGGAAAACAAAATAATTGATACTTAAATATTATAACATTTTATTATGTGCACTATATTTCTTTCTTTGTACTATAAATAATTAAAAAAATATTATTTTGAATACAAAAATCAATACATATTAAAAATATCGTGTAAAGTTTAAGCAACCATACAATTTCAACAAGAAAAGTAAAAGCATTTCTAAAGTAAAAGGGATAGTTATATGTAATTAAAACAATGACTTCAATGGAATAAAACGTTCATTTATTAAACATTATATTGAATGAAAAGCGATAAAAGGTAATGCGAATTAACAATACTTAAAAATAAACATACAAAAATTAATCAGATACACTCGAACTATAAAAAATCGTAAAATAATTGGTTTTATTAAAAAAAGATGTAAATGACTATCATAATTGACTAGAAAATAGTATAATTGTGTTTTGAACATTGTTTAATTGAATGCCAGCTTTCATATTATGTTATACATATGCTAGTAAAAAAATAAATAGGAAAATAGATTCAATGTAACTCTCTTATAATTAACAGCCGTGGTTGTAATATTATTTTCATTAAACATTGATAAATTATTCATTAATTCAGTAATAGTATACCAAAATAATACACGTTTTTATTTCATACATAAGAAGTTACTAAGAAAATATGCCGTCAAATAACGCGGAATTATATATTACAATTTTTGTTAGTATTTGAGTGTCCTTCTAAATTCTATAACTATGTACAGACTAAATCTTTCATCCAATGTCGAAATACGTACATATGTTAAATACATTAAGTTGCTTAAACCAAGAGTCTAACTTGTAAACATAGCTTGTGGTATATGAATTAAAAGAAATGTTGTCTTTACATCAGTTTGTATGTGTGTGTGTATGTGTATGTGTTTTATATTGCCGTCTCTTTCCCTCTCACCTCAACCTCTTCTAAGTCCCAATCCAATTCGCTTTCTGTAATTATAATTATTACATGAAAATTATTGTGTATAGTTCTTTAAGTGAAGACTAAGTTTTCTACTTAAAATATTTCTGAATAAAAAAAAAACAAAATAGCTTATGTGGGCCTTACACTATATTTATTTCATAGAAATATTTTTCGACCACACATAAATCAAGTAAGGATTTTTGTAAGACCAATTACGAGGACTATACCATTATACAAAATGCAAAAGTTTGTGAGAGTGTATGTATGTTTGTTACTCTTTCACGCTCAACCGGTTGAACCGATTTTGATAAAATTTTGTATACAGGAAGCTGACGTCCAGGAATAACACATAGGCTACTTTACATCCCGGAAATCCGGGTAATACCGCGGGGCGCAGCTAGTCTTACATAACTTTAGAATATTTTATCCCTTTATTATAATTTTCTTCAAAACATGAATACGAACCAGATAAAGCTCCAGACTGTGGTCTTATGACGGTAGCTAATACATCGCCAGCACTGGCGTGACGAGAGCGGCGACACTCGGCCGGGGTACGCCACACTCCCGCCGCACCAGCTTCCTCATGGTAAGATTCGAAGGAATAGCCAACAGCCTCTGAGATAAACGAGAGTGTAGAAGTCTCAAACGATTGATGAACAAAAACGAGATAATAACATAGCCTTAAAGAAACTCAACTTCTTGCATTGAAGTATATATTTTGAATTATCGTTATGCATAAAAATGTCCTGATTAAATTCACTTTTTACGATAGAACAAAGACGCATTATTGTACGTTATAGAGCTTCCTCGCATTCAGCCAAAGATAATTTTTCTACTTTCTCATATTCAAAATATAGGATAGAAATAATTTTGGGGGTCTGTTTTCTCTCCGAATTTAAAATCTGATAGTTATCAAGGAAAAATTTAATTATTTAAATGAAACTATTATTTTTCGGATTATATTACGCGACATTATTTTCGTAAAAAACTACATACTCCCGACTTTTCGTCTGCCCTTGATCACGAATACTGAAATGTAGCCGAAAAATCTTAAATTTTAAAATCTTAAATCTCATTAGAGAGTTAATTGGTTTCGATTTGCTTAACATCTAAGGTGAAACTTCTACCTACCATCATACGAAATGATGACCGGTTGTAACAAGAAATAGATGACCAAATTAAATCATTATTACCTACGGAAGGCGGCGGGCCAGGAACTGATCGTGGGCTGATAGAACTGAATCTTGACTCCATAGAATGATGACGAGCACCAGATCTGTCCATCTCGATGTATTCTCCAGCATTCGAATCAAAACCTGCGACCTGGAACTCCGTCAACGGCCCCAGAGGTTGCCGTTGTCTATCCTTACTCCTTATAGATTCATTCAAACTCTGCTTCGCTTCCTTTACTTTCAAAACTTTCCTTTCAGGTCTGTCGTTGTTATTTTCGTTCGTTTCGTTAGTATCGCTAACTTCGTTTCTTTCGTTTATCTCCGTGGCAGTCTCATCGTCATCTTTATCGTCTCCGCTTGACTGCGTTTCCTTCTTTCGTGATGATTTTATGTTCATATAATGTTTCTTGCAAGTTCTTGCTTCTGGGAAGGAGCAGGGTCCTTGTTCTTCTGCATGTTCTCTCTCTCTCTCTCCTTCTGTGCCGCTGTCATCTCCTCTCAGCGGTACGTATAATTCTACAGCAGATCTCTCCCAATCTCTCCTATGAACTACTTCGTCTATAACACTAGGCGCGGAGTGATATCGCCCGTCTGCGTCAACCTCTCCCGTCATGTCTGCACCGCCCCTCGATCTTCGGCTACGGATTTCTTCATGACTACGATGTGCGGGAATCTTTGATTGGCCTTGGGGGTAAAAAATCATAATCAGTACTTTGTTCGTTGTCTATCAAAATGTTTTGGAAGAACCGGAGTTTTATTGCGAAGTAGACATCGAGAAAGGATTATGTTATAAAAACCTATATACGTTATAAATTTCTAAAGGGAAAACCTATTTCAACATTAATGAAGATACGTGTTTGTGTTTAATTATGTTTAATTAACCATAAACATGAATGGATACAGAAATGATGTAAACATAACATCTTTGTTGAATTTTAACAATATTTCAATAAAAATATTGAGAGTTGATCTGACAAAACAAAAGAATATAAACAAAAATATATCATTACTTAGTTGTAATTTAATGATCTAAATATTTAAAATCGTCCTGTCATTTTGTTTATATTATACAAGTTCAATTTGGTGTGTTATATGACTAATTATTATCAACACGCACAAATGTACACACGTACATATATATATATATATATATATATATATATATATATATATATATATACAGGGTGACTGGTGAATTACTATCGATATTTGAGGACGTGATATTTGACGATCATATATGACAAAATAAAAATTAATATAACATAAATATTAATAAACTTCTAAGTAAAGTTAACCAAAAGTTATGTAATTAATTACGCATCGTGTGAACACCCTATAGATTAGGTATACACTGACACTCACACATACGCGTGTCGTGACGTAGTGTTGTATCAGCACGCCGCCGCACGCGTCCACACTTGGAACACTTGGAACGTGTCAACACTTTACTTATTTATACGGAAATTTTGTCAAAAATTAAGTGCCTATTTTTATTACATAATTCGAATGAGAATCATGTACCGAGTATTCTCCTTAAATATTGATAGTAATTCACCAGTCACCCTGTATATATATATATATATATATATGTGCGTATATATATGTAACGTCCTTCTTAATATTTTACAAATTGATCAAGTGCATGCTATCACTAAATTAATATTTTATTGAAATTGTCTGTCTCGAAGCAGTTCAGAACCAATATTATGTATTTATATTTATATATATTATGTATTCTATGAATATCCTTCGTTTGGATAACCAGGAGTTAGTTGGTAATTTTTCTGGTTAACCCGGCTTACAAATAAGGCTTATATATATATATATATATATACACTTATTACTATATATAACTATGTTTTATTACCAGAAGTGCTGGGCAGGTGTAGAGAAACAGCGCTAGAAGCGAATCTTCGACCTCCAAAACCACCGGAGTGATGACGACAACTGGACTCTATATAAAACAATTAGTTTAATAAACGAGTACATAAAATATATTAATTTACTTTCATTAATCTTTAATATTATAAAAACTCTATGTTAAAATTCAATCAATATTAATAAATTTTGTCGTCAACAAGTCTGTTTTTGTTACTTTTTACTATAAAGAAATGTAATATTAAAAATGTATAAAATAATATTTTTAACAATTATAAAGACACACATTGACTAATTCACCAATACACATAGCATTAATTAAAATAATACACTTAAATATTTTTTTTAGAAAATATGGAATGAAAAATTTATCACACGACCAGGATTTAAACCTACAGCCTTCTCAACATCTCGTTTCATTATTTTATTCAACTAAACTAACGTGTCGAAACAATTTCGTTCCATATTTTCTTATTAAATTTTAAATATAAGTATTATCTACACATTGCTGTTTAATTAAAAACATAATATTACAATACACCTATTAATATTTTTCACTAATCATTTACCATCGGTTACTACAGGTTTTTGTGGTTGATATTTCCCTGAGCTAGAATCTGGAAGAAGATAAACATATAAAATATATTAAATAAACAATACATGCATATATATTATATATAGAAAATATTCAGTTTTGGCCTAGTGGTTAAAGGGACCGCCTCTCATGCACGAGGGCGCGGGTTCGATCCTGGCAAGTACCAATGTGGTTTTTTCGAGTCATATGTACTTTCTAAGAGTATTTAGACATCACTGATTAATGCATTCCCAAAGAGGGTTGATGTCAGGCAGGTTGTAAAAAACAATTAGCCAAAACTATTCACTACATGAAAGGCAGACCCTGGCTAAAGCTGGGCAATTGCCAGGAAGATATTATATATAGAATTTAATATTATTACATAAAGATCGCGATAGAAAAGAATCAGCAAAGTATGTATAAATTGTATTTAATATGGCATTATATGTAATTAGGATTATTGGTAGTGTTTGTATGTCTGTCTGTGTACCTGATCTATCATCATCAGGCCAGCAGCACAACCAACAGAGCAGCAAAAGTGGTGCACACACTTCAGCAGCGAGAACGGCACCCGCACCTCCCAATGCACCCACACCCAGACCAGCCATTTAGAACTCTATAATACAACTTATATATTAAATAATAAGCAAATCCTATCAAATGCGGTAGAGAGAGGAGCTTGGAAGGTGGTGAGGGTTTAACGCATTAGATAGGGTCCCTTAAACCTACACCTGGGTCACAAGTCCCAGTCACTGTTGAAGCTCCTCTCACTACAACGATGGACCCGACACACGCACCGTGAATATATTGAATGATGAGAGGTTTGTCTTGCTACATAATTTTATTAATAATTCAGTTTAAATGATAATCATATCAAAACCAAATTATGTATTTTTTATAAGAAACAAAGATATAAATTAAAAAGTATATATTATATGCTACTTGCTTTAATATTACGTGATATTTGGTATAGTAAATATTTTATCGAGAAATCATTTTCTTGACTAGGACACACAAAAATACAATATGAACAAATAAAAAAGGTTATTAGAGAAGCAAAGAAGAGTTATGAGTGACAGATTTTCTATGAACGTTGGTCTTTGGATACAATAGAATTTTTATTTGGTTGTGGATGAGACACTTTACGGTAAAAGTATTTTTTATTGAATTGTAATTATGCAAGTTGTATAATTATGCAAGACCTAATTTATATATTGAAAATTGCATCGAAGTTAAGAAAAATAAATATTAAACAGTAAATAATGTAATGTTGTTCTAAATTATGTAATAATTAATTTATACATTGAAAAATATAGAGAACTTGGTAGCTATATAATATAATAAATTCCTAAACAAGCTTTATAGAATTCAATTGATTTCATCATCGTCATCATCAGCCTATCAGAGCCCACTGCTGAGCAAAGGCCTCTTCTCACATGGAGAAGGTTTGAGCATTAATCACCACGCTTGCTCAAGACGGGTTGGTGATTTCAAACTTATAATTGTGAAACTATAAGTCCATTGATTTATCCAAAACAAAACTAATAACACATCTCGTTTGTCCGTGATCACGGTTGCTGTAAAGTGGTAATCGAAACGTTGGGAGTATGTAGTTTTTGACAAAAATAAAATCGTGTCCGAAAAATATTAATTTCATTTTAACAAAACAAAACTAGTTTCCTACATTAAAATGGTTAAAGTCTCTAAAACGCTTCCTTCATAAATCAATAAATAAATGTATCTATACATATATAATAATGTAATATTACAAAAGTTTTAAATAATTTTAATACTAATAATAAAATTTCCAAAACTTTTGTACAAAATTATTTTAGGAAATCGCTTTAAAACTAACAGACTTCCATTATTTTCCTTGCTGCCATTAAAAATAAAATCAATATTCGTATTTTTTTCTAATATTTAAATACGTAATATTTTTTTTGTTACTTCCATTTAAATTATTTATTAAAAAGTTCAAGTACCTAATATAATTTTTACATCATATTACTTAAATGAAACTAAGTTATTATTTTACTACGTATTTTTATTATTTCATAACTTCATACTCCCGACGCGACGTTTCGATTACTTTACAGCAACCGTGATCACGGGCAGATGAGATAAATTTGTCTGTCTGTCACTGTATGCAGATATAAAATACTGAAAAACAAGTATTATCCGAAAAACTAAGTTTCATTTAAATGTGTACACGCGGAAATCATGTAACTTATATTTATTTTAATATTCTTTTATTAAACATACCTACGTATATTTAATAAAAACTAAAAGGAAATTCTTTAGTTGCAATTTAATACTTTTTTATATAGGTAAATACAACGTTTTTTTAATGATATATAAATATGAAGAAATAAATTAAATTAAATTAAAAAATATTAATAATAAGATACATAAAACTTACCTCTTAAATATTCAACAGGGAGAGTCAATTTTGAAAACTTTTAACATATTTAACATATATAATAATGATATTAAATCATATATTTATTAGTGTATGTATGTATTGTCGTTACGTTATTCGTCACGGTCGCTGGTAGTGTGTTGTGAACTGAGCTCTGAAAACGAGGCTTACTTCAGATGAATTAGGATTGGGGTACACTCGGTACATAGACGGAGAGAAAATATTATTAGTAGCAAAATCTTTAGAATTCTATATATATATATATATATATATATATATATATATATATATATATATATATATCTGATGAAAAGCTATTTTCTTTATGAAAAATTAATATTTTTAATCTAATTATTCTGATTATATTTTGAGTATTCATGTGCTAGTATTACACCTTTTTGTAATTCTTATCGCATTTAGAGCGGTACGCCAGAAAATTAAGAAATCGATGAATAACAAGACCGACTGACAGACACTCACATTTCGTCTGCCCGTGATCACGGTTGCTGAAAAGTAACCGAAATTTCAAGAGTATATAGGTTTTAACAAAAATATTACTGTAGTATATCCAAAAACTATTAGTTTCATTTAAATCCTTATCAAATTACTATCTTATATATAAAATTTTCGTGTCACTATATTCGTTCCCCTACTCCGAAACTGCTTGACCGATTCTTGTGATATTTTGTGATCTGAGAATCGGCCAACATCTATTTTTCATACTCCTAAGTGATAAGGGTTGTTCACCCTTAATTATTATTTTAAATTTTTGGACGAAATTTTTTGTTTGTATTTTTTTAATAATAATAATATTTATTTGCTCTGAATTTCGGTACAGAATATATGTAGGTGTATAAATAGATTTAAGTATAAGTTCCAATACATTCTACCTTAAGGCATGCAATTAAAATTATAATGTAGCATTACAAAATATATACAACCCATCTTTTATCACTAACCCCTATATTTTTATACAGCAAAACAACGTTTGCCGGGTCAGCTAGTATTATATACATGTTCTGCTCCCAGTGTGTCCCCGTCAGATGCTGCAGGCGCCGGAGTGTCCCGATCGATCATCCCGATCCCTCTCACTCATTATTATCACTGTCTCACTCACACTGCACTCATTGTTTAATATAATAACTTTTTTTCACTCAAAATTATCAAATAGGACACTCGATCAAGAAAAATATTGTATACAACAGTATTGAAATGTATAGAAGTATTGTATATATTATAAATTATATTTATTAAGATTTACAAGAAAACAAGTAGTAGAAACCTATTTTTGATCTCTCCTTTCATATTTTAATGAATATAGATCTTTTTATATATTTTTAAACTGAAATTTGTATGACTTATGTTAATTTAGTTTAATAATGTCGAGAATTTTGTGGTTTAGGTAAATTTATATTTTCCATTTGAGCTTAACAGACGCTATATATTGTGACTAAAATATAATACTTATAATATTCTGTCACATAAACGATACATAAAAAAAACTTTAATTTTAAACAACAGAATAAAAATTTTAAGTAAATTTTCAAACTAATTTATAAGAACTAAATCTTTAATTCTACTCATATATGTATGTATGTTTTATTACATGTTATATATGGTTCTTATATGTTAATACACAACATACTATGACGCAACTCGTGCACTGCGCATGCGTGAAATATTACCACTCACTACGGCAACTCCATTGCTAGCACTGAGTGTAAACAATTAGAAATAAAAATAAGACATGTGGCTGTGAATAGATTAAGAAGAAAAACATTTATATGTAAGTATAATATATTTTATTTTTCATAATAAGTAACTTAATATTATTTGAAAACGAATTATTATTGACGTTGCCTTTTTATAGCACGCGTAATGAGCATTTTAATGATTAATGAAATTAGTTACATCTTGACGTATTTCATTTATAAATACAGAATTCCCTTTTAAAATATATAAATTTATATTATTATATATAATCATGTACATATATGTTATGTATTAAGTAAATAAACATAGAACTATTTTACTTAACTTTATCATCAGTAACTTGTTTTTGGATCAAAATTTAAAGTTTTTTTCAATCAGTTACTTTTACCGCATTGCAGTGACAACGAATATTTCACAGACGACTTAAATTTAAAGATTCCTATTGAAATATTAATTTATAAAGTGACCTGTCTTTGCTTGGTATAAAGTATGTGGTTTAATATACAAGTATGTACAAAACAAAGACTAATAGACTTGACATCAATGATCAAGAACCGTAAATATCTTTAACTAATTTTCAGAAAATAATATCACGCTATATACATTGTTATTGTTTGAGAAATAGAGTCTAAATTACAATAACAACTATCGTTATTGTCGTACGTCCCAATTTTTCGTGTTTTATGTAATCTTAAAAGAACTTCGTTAAATTTATTTATTTATTGAAATTCATTCGATATATATTCTATATATTATTTTTACTCTTTTACTTTATAAAATGAAGAGTGTTGTTTTTATCCAAAAGATATTTTTAATTTATTTAAATTACTAACAATATTATAATTAAATACAATTTAACCATCTGATAAAATGTAAGTTAAACTCAAATCACCTGTGATTATTGCCGGTTACTTGAAATAAGGTTTATAAACAGAAACTAGTGGATTTTGAAATTATTAATAATTAATTAATAAAGATTTTTCTTCTCTATATTATATAATTATGAAGATTGTCACTCTGTACATGTAGAAACAGGTGACAGTTGAAGAACATGTCACTGTTGACACTTAAAGACTTCTTTAACTACACAACATTAGCAGAATATGCTGTGCATGCCTTTGCACGGATGAAGGCAATATTTTATATGTACAACCATAACCAAGATTTCTTTAAAATATAAAATTTGGTACACAACGTTGGCAATTTCCATAAAGAAACGCTGATTACTAAAAAAGAAGAAGAAAATATACAAAGGTTACAACGAAAATATGATTTAAAATGATTCCTTGGATGTAATCTCTAAGAGCACAAGAACGAAGAAAAGAAGTTGGACAATAATAAGCATTAAATAGAGTGACGATTAATATCTATACATAATTCGTTTATATTAAAAGTAAACAAAACTTTTACGAATATTCAAACTCGCGGTTTGACATTTTGCGTTCAGAAATGCTTTACGTTCAAAAATATTATTGAAATAAATGAATACAGGGAATTATGCAACGTATGTTGAAACAGGAATTCTTGAATAATAATGGAATTAAAATCTTTGTCAGGCTAAGCAGTCAGATCTCTAAATTGTCTATAGAAACTTAAATTTAGGTAATATAAACTTTGATAAGAAATAATTACAGAAGGTAATTAACTAAAGAATAACAATAGAATAAAACTATTAGATTTAATAAACCACCAAAGCATTATAAACTAACTCATGATAGGCATACAAGAAGAAGTCTTAAAAAATAATAAATAAGAATTCCTTCATATTTATTAAAATATCGGTAAATTATTTAAGAAATAACATTTTACCAAAAAAGTATACAAGTGCACGCTTCATAATATTGGTGTTATGAATAATTAAATAGAATTATAACATTAATTAAGGTTGTTATACTCGTCTTATTAATACAATACAAACACTTCTTGTGTAACAACTTTATCGCCACGGCAACCGATTTATTGATTCAAAAACTTCTTAAATACAAATAATCTTGTCATAAAATCAGATGATTTTCTTTATTATTAAAATTATCACTAAATAATACAAGTATAGAATAATGATTATCAAATAGTAATGTTTTTAGAACTGGCTACAATATGCAGGCGACTTTGCCGCCAATGTGGTCGGAGATCGAAAGATTTAGAAGGAGACGAGGGAGGCTTACACTGTCAGAATTGACAGAAATTACGGCCAGGGCTCATCAGCTACATCTACAGGTACAAATATACTCAAGAATATTATGAACATATCATACAAACTAGTCAAATACTTAGATGAAACATACACTACCTATAACTTGAGAATGTACGACATATACGTAAAGAAGCAATTACGATGGATTTATTATACAAAGTATGAGTAAATTTGCATTATTAAAATTAGTATTATTTTGATATATAACGGTTTATTTGTATTCTTTATATATCAGACAAATTTGATTATATTTTCAAAGATCTAACAAAATCTTAATATCTTGCGTACACAAATGAAATCTAAGACTTTAAGTATTCATTTAAATGAAACCTATATTATTAGGATTACTACGCGTGCTCTATTTTTGTAATAAATCTCCATACTTTCAACGTTTCGGTTACTTTAATCGTGATCATTAAGACGAGATGTGCCATTCAAAACACGTGTGGTATATCCGAAAAATATTAGTTTCATTTAGATGTCACCACCGTTAGCTTATAATTAATTATCGTTATATTTTATTCATTATCGTTATACTAACTGCGCCCCGCGGTGTTAGCCGAGGATTTCCGGGATATAAAGTAGCCTATATATTATTCCTGGACGTCAGCTTCCTGTATACAAAATTTTATCAAAAACAGTACAGCCGTTTGAGCGTGAAGAAGTAACAAACATACACACACACTCACAAACTTTCGCAATTATAATATCAGTAGGATTTCACACGTTTATTATATATTTTCCAAGTCCCAGATGTTCCAGCTGAGTCCCCAGGAGCTGCGTCGTCTCCGTGAGCTCCACGCTCGTCTCGACTGGTCTAGGTCACACCGACCAGAGATAGTGTTATACACGCCCGCACAACTCAGACAACTTATAAGGTACGATAATTATACAGGGTGACTGGTGAATTACTATCAATATTTAAGGTGCATACTCGGTACATGATTCTCATTCGAATTATGTACAAAAAATTGGTACTTAAATTTTGACCAAATTTCCGTATAAATAAATAAAGTGTGTACACGTTCCAAGTGTTCCAAGTGTGGACGCGTGCGGCGGCGTGCTGATACAACACCACGCCGCCGCACGCGCGTGTGTGTGTGTGTGTGTGTGTGTGTATACCTAATCTGTAGGGTGTTCATACGATGCGTAATTAATTACATAACTTTTGGTTAACTTTACTTAGAAGTTTATTAATATTTATGTTATATTAATTTTTATTTCGTCATATATGATCGTCAAGTATCACGTCCTCAAATATCGATAGTAATTCACCAGTCACCCTGTATAAACTACTTATAAAATTTGGGAGCAATAATGGATGTTGTGGCCTACAAATGGTAGAGCTTAGCTGTGGTCAAGTATTGCGCTGGCTCGAGCAATGGGCTCTGATAGGCTGATGATGTTAATGATGAATGGATGTTTTTTTAAAAACTTAATGGGTTTTAATGAAACTATCTAGTAATATAACTTAAATAATGGACTATAATCATGCAACATTTCACTCGGAGCACAATTTTGAAGACTTCTTAATTATAATTAAGTAGTCTCTTATTATAATATACTGAAATTATTATGAATTAATGGTTTTTTAAGTGTTTGATCTCTATATCAATAAAATATCAAATTACGTGAAGTAGTGTATTAAAGCTGCTTTTTTCATGAGCATCGAGTTTTCTAATAAGGGTCCCTTAAACCTACACCTGGGTCACAAGTCCCAGTCACTGTTGAAGCTCCTCTCTCTACAACGATGGACCCGACACACGCACCGTGAATACATTGAGTGATGAGAGGTTTTGTCTATCTTACTTCAATCAATTTCTTCCACAGTCTGAGTCGGCCTGCCCTGGACATCCCTCGAGCTAGTCCTCCATTTCCTAGGGCTTCGCCCCCGTCCCCAGCCGGTCCCTGGCGTCCCGGGCCATTAGGGGCGCCGTGGCATCTACCTGATAGTAATCCTTCGGTAACTATTAAAATTACTTTTATTTAAACTCCTACGTATGTCATATTCATGATACAGGTGAAGAAAAATCAACTTTATTGCAATTTACGTGCATTTAGAATTAATTTAATGAATGAATAAATGAAACATGAAATTTAAAGATTTTTTTTTAATTTAATCTTATTTTTGATCGCTTGTTACACAATAACCTAAATCTGACTGGTCTTTTTTAATGTATCCAATATTATTAAAGTATTTTTATTCACGGAGAATAACTTTGTTTAGGGAGTAAAAAATAGTTAAATATAACAATTATATATATTCTTGACACATACTGAATAACCAAATTATATATTAATCAATATGGCAGTAATTTCATCATTAATATATTAATGTTGTATGTATATCTGTTGTCAGTCAGAGCCTCGTAGTGAGTGGTCGTGGAGGGGAGCCCGCGGGTGGGGGGCGGGGGCCTTGCTACTGATAGCCGCTCTGCTACTAGTACGTGCTACTGACAGATGCTTCACTAAGGGATACTCGAGATGTGAGTTCTACTAGCTGATACTACTGATACTTGTGATTATACAGGGTGACTGGTGAATTACTATCGATACTTGAGGACGTGATATTTGACGATCATATATGACACAATAAAAATTAATAAAACAGAAATATTAATAAACTTCTAAGTAAAGTTAACCAAAAGTTATGTAATTAATTACGCATCGTGTGAACACCCTTCAGATTAGGTATACACACACACTCACACAGACGAGGCGGCGGCGTGTTGTTGTATCAGCACGCCGCCGCACGCGTCCACACTTGGAACACTTGGAACGTGTACACACTTTATTTATTTATACGGAAATTTGGTCAAAAATTAAGTGCCTATTTTTTTTTTACATAATTCGAATGAGAATCATGCACCGAGTATTCTCCTCAAATATCGATAGTAATTCACCAGTCACCCTGTATACCTATTAGCTGCGAACCGCGGTGTAACCCGTGGATTTCCGGGATGTAAAGTAGCCTATGTGTTATTCCTGGACGTCCTGTATACAAAATTTTATCAAAGTCGGTTCAGCCGTTTGAGCGCGAAGAAGTAACAAACATACACACATACTCACAAACTTTCGCAATTATAATATTAGTAGGATATATGAGATTTAACCGAGTATTAATTGAAATTAAACTAAGATTTATCAGACATAGTACGATTTTTTTATTATTTTATGGTCGTTTTGGTTATTATTATAAAAACTACGTCCTCCATACGTTTCGATTATATTTCATCTCGTCAGTAATCACGGTTGCTGAAAAGTAACCGAAACGTCGGGAATATGTAGTCAAAAATAATAAAATACACGTAGTACATCCAAGTATTTGTTTTACTTTTCTTTATAACAGTAATTCTATCTAAAGCAAGTATCAAAATATTCTGATTAATATATTTCAGCACGAAGAAGACGTTCAGAGGAATGGCCGTCAGCAAATGTACTCGCTACTAGTCGTAAGTAACATCTTAAAGATATTAACTACATACTACTACTACTATACTACTCCCTGCTACTACTACTTTATACTCATTAAATATTCGAATAATCAAACGTATGTTATACTAAAAATAAAAAACATTTTTATTTTATACATATTTTTGTTAATGTTTTTACGGCTCTAGATACGAGTCTTTTTGAGATTTATTTTATAGTATTATAGTGTTGCCAGTTATTAAATTTATCACATTTACATCAATTATAATGTTACTATATTAACTATTTATCTAATTTCCAGAACAAGGTTCAACTAATATAGAACTGGATCTTCATTCAGGGAACATATTCCCACTTGAGTCCTCCCCTCCCCCCCGACCCTCCCCCGCCGTATACAGCCTTACAACACGAAGAGCCTCCCCCGCCTTACTGTCACGTAGCATTCACAAACAAACCACAGTCGCCCACCGTACACATATACCTGACAGGCAACGAACCAGTCGCTCATTCAAGCAACGGATTCAACCAAAACACCGAAAATAACATAGATGATAACCAAAAAACTTCTCAAGAAACAGAAAACGAAGAAAATACACAGATAAATATAAATAATGATTCAGCCATAGACAATGAGACGATAACGTCAGAGAGATCCATAGATAATCAAAATCGCGAAACGCAGAACGCGTCAAGAAATGAAGAAACTTGTTAATAAGTTACGCTTATTTTATATTAAATCGATTCTTATGATGTATAACTTTGATTGGTAATGTTTTATTATATATTTGTAACGAGCAGAGCCGGGTTGTGTAGTTAGTCGTTTATATTTTGTAGTCGGTAGTTTTTCGTATTCATATTACACACTTGAACTTTAGTAGATCACGATAATATCCGGATAACATTAAAATTACATAGAAACAATAAAATATATACCATTTATAATATAATATTGTTTTATTTATATATTAAAACTGTTACCGTAAAAGACTTAAATAGTAGGTGTACAATTTAGTTTGACTGAGACAGTTTTCCGCGGGAGTTCCGTTCAAAAATATATTTATTTAAAAAAAATATACAGGGTGACTGGTGAATTACTATCAATATTTAAGGAGAATACTCGGTACATGATTCTCATTCGAATTATGTAAAAAAAAAATGGTACTTAATTTTTGACCAAATTTCCGTATAAATAAATAAAGTGTGGACACGTTCCAAGTGTTCCAAGTGTGGACGCGTGCGGCGGCGTGCTGATACAACAACACGCCGCCGCACGCGTGTGTGTGTGTGTGTGTATACCTAATCTGTAGGGTGTTCATACGATGCGTAATTAATTACATAACTTTTGGTTAACTTTACTTAGAAGTTTATTAATATTTATGTTATACTTATTTATTTTTATTTTGTCATATATGATCGTCAAATATCACGTCCTCAAGTATCGATAGTAATTCACCAGTCACCCTGTATATTGCAACAGACATTATTAGTTAAATTATGTATGTTTTTTTACGGATAAATCATATTTAAAAAAATTCTAGGGTGGTAACTACAAATACAAAAAGTTTATTAAATCGTCAATGCTGAATATATTACATCTACATTTCGGAAATAAATAATTAAAAAACATATGATTTACTCTTCATACAGGAAGTTGCCAGGTTACAAAATTTACACGAATGATAAAAAGAAACTTGTCTTGATAAGACGATTAATTACAGAAAGAAATGTTAGTGGACGATAGTGATGTGACTGGAATAGGTTTTATTATTCAAAATCGAGACAAGTTTAAAAGTTTATCATCCATTAATTTGTTTATTTTTATAATAGTCAGTATCTGTTAATTGTTTTATTGTCAGTCATACCGATTTTTTTTTTGGGAATTTCTTAAACTAAACGTAAACGCCTGATTTAACTATTGTTCCCAAGTACAAAGTTCAAGTACAATTACTTAATTATGCATTTTGAGAATTTTTCTCGACTACTCCATTAAGAAATTTCTAGTAAAAAAATCGAGGAAATTCCTTAGTACATCTACCCACATAATCGTTACATTTAATCATTAAATTAAATAAATATCTCAATCTGGGGAGGACCAAAAATAAATAAAGTCGAACATCCGCAAACTAATAACTTGTATGAAAATACATCTCCATAATTAAGCACAGTGTATGATTGTTTTTCGAAAAGAAATTACTTAACCGGCACTCTAATTGATAGAGTTGACTTAATGTATCCTAGATTTTTTTGGAAACGTATACTATGAAGATGTTATGAGTAGCAAACTGCTTTGTCGTTCATTTTAGATTTTATACAAAAGCTTATTAGCAGATTTATATTAGGTTATCCTAATGGAGACATGGTTTCTTTTAACAGATAATCCAATAAAAGGTTTACACATAACCTATCTAACAAATCTTAAAAATAGCAAGACGACATTAATTGTTCCTCTTATTAGGGTTTCTTAAAATAAGTCAGTAAGGAGAAACCTATGTAGTAATATCTTGATGATGTTAAACAATTCTGAAAAAAACAAGTGTTTAATAACTTCTTAATTAAACTCAAGTGTTTCCTTTGTTATTTAATTTAATAAACATTCTATCACTCCCTCATTTAATATCTGCTGATGAGAAATATATATTTTGCACACCTTAATATCATATTAAATAAAGAGCAAAATCTTCTGTCCATAAAGTCAACCGCTGGTTTATTCGTAGAATAAGTCCATTTACAGTTTTTTATTGTTACGACTTTGCATTCAAAATACAATTTAAACCATTAATAGCATTCAGAAGAGTAAATTGAATTATCTTAGAAGTTGATATGTAATCAGTTAATTAATTTGAAACTTTGTAATAATTTAAAACTAAATAAACAAACATTTATTGTAAATATGTAGTTTTATTTCATATACCGATTTTTTTATAAATATACCGGTTTCATACTTAACTCTATCAATCGCATTTTGACGCCAGAGAGCTATTGACAGATGTCAATTTAGTATGGCAATGTTTACGATGTACATATGGAATACTGAAAATTGGTTATAATATTATAATATAAAGTCAACAACATAAAATGTCTTCCGAATTAGTTCGACAAGCGCTGGCATTTGTAGATCCGGACGGTAAGTAAATCTTTCTGTATTAGTTCATGTTTAAAAATTCATATTTAACGATATTGTCTAATTTCTAGAGAGCAACATCAAGTCAAAAAAGAAGAAGCGTAATAATTCACAAGGCGATTTAAATACAGGTATGGATGTTTTGTAAAAGATTATTAATTGTATCTCATGGTTATTAAAATCAATTTGACAATTTCCAGTAAATCCTTTTAAGAATAGAAGTAAGAAGAAACAGAAAATCATTAAAAAATCTAAAGAAGAATTAGCTGAGGAAAACATAAAGAAACTTTTATCACTCTCTACACCGACGGAAGCTGCTAACTTAGATAAGGTTAGTTATTATTACAATTTTACCAAGTAACAATATCTTTTACACATGCACATTTAAAATTACACTATGTTTACTTGCTAATTATGTCGACTACAGCCGGAGGTTCCAAAAAAAACAAAATTTACTTATAATTACTTTATTCTAAAGACGACCTATCGTTACATGATTGAACGAAGAAGTGATTTTATAATTGTAAAACTGATTTACAATGCCTCGGGAAGCCGTGGTGTTCTCTTTCTGCATTCCTTTCCCATGGATTCCGCGGAATGAGGTGTCGTCTTTACTTCATTCCATTCCCATAAGTTCCATGGTGTCAGCATTCGGTGTTTAATTTAATAATTTTATGTTCGCGTAACATGCTCAAGATGAAATTATCATCTTGTCTGCAATCATGGTTACTGTAAACAGAACTTTAATAAAACATAACATATAATAAATTAAATTCTTAGCACATTGATATCAAAAGTTATTCATGATTTTGTAATCAATTACTAGATAAGAAAGTGTAGTATTCCATAAAACTATATCAAATTCGTCATGTATGTATTATGCTAAGTAACAAACTGAATGACGGCAACTAATATAATAAACTACATTACACTTGACATCATATTATTATAACAATATCGAGCAAGCATATCTAATACATAACAGATAGACATAGAATTATTATCCTATTTGAGATTCATGATAATTAAAATACTACATATGACTAAACATAATTATAAATGGTATAAAGACTTAACTTTTATTGTCTTTAGAATTGTTTAATGAAAGTTCTTTTAAAAATCTTCAGATAATTAAGAGAGCAGTAAAAGGCAAACCGCTCGAAGAAAAGACCGACATAAAAGTTGGACAAGAAAAATCAATTTTGTTCCCTGAAGAATCTTTCGGAGACTTTGAAAAGACTTACTTCTGTAGTTAATACATTATTATACATTTATAAATATATCATTGTATAAGTTACTACTTTATATAGAATAAAATTAAATACAAGTATTGGAGGTTTTAATAAATTCTTTCCCTATAATATAAAAGTAAAAACAATATTATGGAAGATAAGTAATAGTAAATATATACTTTGGAAGAAAAATTGTTTAATCTTTTGCTTGAAAAATGTTTTTACAATATATATTTAATTTGCAATCCTTTTTTTACTCTGTTGTACGAAAGTTAAATATAAAACTACTTATAAATAATAATTGTTCCACAACTAAACAAATTAATAAAGTAACAGAAAATTTGAATAAAAATAGGTGAAATATACAGGGTGACTGGTGAATTACTATCGATACTTGAGGACGTGAAATTTGACGATCATATATGACAGGATAAAAATTAATATAACATAAATATTAATAAACTTCTAAGTAAAGTTAACCAAAAGTTATGTAATTAATTACGCATCGTGTGAACACCCTACAGATTAGGTATACACACGCACACACACATACGAGTGCGGCGGCGTAGTGTTGTATCAGCACGCCGCCGCACGCGTCCACACTTGGAACGTGTCCACGCTTTATTTATTTATACGGAAATTTGGTCAAAAATTAAGTACCTATTTTTTTTACATAATTCGAATGAGAATCATGTACTGAGTACTCTCCTCAAATATTGATAGTAATTCACCAGTCACCCTGTATATTCTGTGAAAATTATTTCTTTAAAAATCTATGGGCCGTTAAATGTTTATTTAAAAAAATTATGTTATGATAAGGGTTTTGAGGATGTTTAAAATAAAAAACAGATACTTTGTAGTGCTATATATTTAAAACAGTATATTTATTGCCTACCTACAACTAATATACACTAATAAAAATAAATGCAAATTGAGTTGAGAAGTTATTGCAGTACATTCGTTATTTATTATACAGTAAAGAGATTTTATAATTAAATTTTTGCTATTATCTGTATCGCGTTTAGTTTTTGCATCTAAGTGGTATTTTCTTATGTTTAATTTAAAATGAATTTGATTCTTGATTCATAGAGATCTAGCCGCACTAAACGTTACACAATAAATAATAATATCTTAATAAATGTTGCTAACACCATAAGTATGTCAATAATATTTTCACTCTGTATTTCGACTTATTATTATTTTAAATAAAATATTTTACTAAAACAGTCTTAAAGTCGCAAAAGCTTAGCACCAAATTAAAGTCTTATATCAAATATTAAATTAATTGTTCTACCATAAACAGATTTTCTATTTACAGTATTTTTACAACGTCGTTCTAAATGAGAACATGTATAATAAAAGTTCCGATTACATATTTACTTTATGAATACTTCCTCACTAATATCAAACTTTAATGTGTTAAATGGATTTTTTTTACAGAATTTAATTTTTTTCGTACAATAAATTAAGTGTAGTGAGAAATAAATATATTATAATGTGTCTATAGCTCATGTCTGTTGCGTCTCACGTAACGAGCGAAGTAATCCGGGCGCCAACACTTACACGAGCCAGGGACGAGGAACCAGTCGTAATATAAACGGACCTGAAATTATTACATGTTTCATTTAAAAATTTAGTTGGGCCTTTATCAAACATAAAGTTAGTGTTTTACTAGCTAAGATAATCTACTAAGTTCTATATTAGTTAAATTAACCCTTTATAAGTTGGAGGTGATATTTTAACCACCATGATTTTATTTTTTTTAAACTGAAATTTTCATCCAAAGGTCGTATTTTTTATTCAGGCTAATTTTATGATTGTCAATAGAAAGTTTGACAATGAAAGGTTTGACAAATATATACATATTTATATATACATATGTTTTTACTACTATTATATAGTATATACCCTTACTCAATTTTGTTTTTCCACTGTCCACTCCTTATGACCGTTAAAGGGTTAACTTTAATTTATGCGTTTTGAAAGTTTATTTTTCTGTTATACTCTGAAATACTATAGACAAAACTTTATCTATAGTGATAAAATTGGGAAAATATCTAAAAGTATGAGGAGTATTGGTCAAGTAAAGAACAGTTTTAATCAATCTTCTTACCTGATAGCATCCAAGAGCGTCGTGTCCATCACAATGCTGAGGTTTCTCTGAACTACTTTCACTTTCCTGCTTTGGAGGAAACTGATTGTATTCCTGTAATAACAAAACACATTTTTAGTATAATACCTATATATGATAATGTAGAATCTTATTTATAATAACTAAGTTATGGTAAGTATATGAATAAAAAACTACATGACTATTTGAGTCATATCATAGAGAAAACAAGTTAGATGTTGTGAGAATACTGTTTCTCAAAGTGTGCAGTTATCTGTCAATTAGGCTGATGATGTTAAAGACATGTATTGCCTTGAGGGTAGCTTAATATAAACAATCTTTTTTATAAGAAAAGTTCACGACAATTTATAGAAAGTTTGCATGGATATCCTACAAATATTATAATTGCGAAAGTTTGTGTGTGTATGTTTGTTACTACTTCACGCTCAAACGGCGGTAGCGATTTTGATAAAATTTTGTATACAGGGAGCTGACGTCCAGGAATAACACATAGGCTACTTTACATCTCGGAAAATGTTCGACCTGATAATTCGCGGGTAGCAACGCGGGGCGCAGCTAGTATTTTATAAACAAGATTATATACCGGTCGGTTGGCGTGTGTTGTGTGTGAGTCTGTTGGAGGGTAATGAAGTTCAGCAACCAACAGAGACAACCAACGAGGTGACGACAGACAACCTCCCTCCAGGTAGTGACAACGAGATTGCATACATCTGGAAAAATATCACAGGAATAGCTTTAAGAAACATACAACAGAACATATGTTATGAGATCTAAGATTCAGACATCTCGTTTGTCGTAATCACGGTTGCTGAAAAGTAGCCGAAACTTCAAGAGTATGAAGTTTTTTACAAAAATAAAGTCCGAAAAATATTAGTTTCATTCAAAAGAATATATGTTATAAAATTAAAGTCGCAAGTAGTACAAACTATTATATCGTCTATGCGTTGCTTTCTGCAAAACTATACAGAGTCCATAGCACATAATAACGACTCTTATTTAAACATATTACAAGACATTTGATATTAGAATGCGCAATTATTATTAGTGACTTTGTCTTTAAGCTTAAGTGAAGAAAATAACAGTTGGATGTTAATGTGGTCATAAATATTTATTTTATGAACTAGAAACGTTAGTTTTAGTAATATTTTTGACATTTTATAACGAATTAAAAATTTTATGTTTCGTAATATAAGATACATACCTTGTAACTTCAACAGTTTGTGTGAAATATCCTTCATAGGGTATCTGTACGACGTATCGCCATACTCCTTGATAGTTTCTAGCAAACACTGGAGTTGCGTATTCAACTCGTGCTGGACAGGGAGTTGGCGGACCCTGAATCGAAATTAAATAATGCATTGACAATTAATCTCAATTTTATATAGCGTATTTCCTTAGTTATAATATTGATTGATCAGGAATTTTTCGGATATAGTCATATTGATATAACTACGGCACAGACTACTCGTTTATACATGAGTTCAGATTAATATTTTGATGTACATAATATTTAAGCATTTTCTTTGAGCTCTTTTTATCACCAGATAAAGAAGAAAAAAAATAAAAATTATTATTACGTATATATTCGGTACGTCATTTGCCGGTTTAATCATCTATGGTTGTAATTCATTAATTTATAATCTTTTTAATCAAATAATTAAATACTATATAGATATACTGACCTCGTATCTATGGGGAGGTGGATGTGGAGAGTGAGGCGTTACTCCAGGATCTTCTCTTCGCTCGGGACCCGCACTGTCACCGTTAATAGCTCGATATAACATGCAAAACCTGAAATAATATAAAAACATCTTTTAGTAAGTATCGACATTAAAATAATAGCGGATGCAATAACCAAACGCAACAGTGACGTTTGTAAATGACTTCCTAGTATTGACAATTGTTGACATTAGCGAAGAGTTTTGAGGTTATTGTAGTTGTTTTGAAAAATTAACTTAAATGTATTAATTAATTTCATTGACCAATGAAATAAAATGTCTTCAGAGTTAGTGCACACGGCGCAATACGTAGATCAACAAGGTGAGTGGTCAGTATTCTGGTAGCATCATTGTGTTTATGATTTGTACGTATTTGTTTTTTATAGAAGGCAAAACTAAATCAAACAAGCGCCGTTTCGATTCAAGTCCGGGCGTCAGAGGCCAAGGTATGTCGTTTTTATATATATTACGTCATTATCTGTATACATAAATCCTATACGATTATTTTTTCATTAAGTTACATCCGATTATTCAAGACGCGTATCAACTGATTTATTGTATAAAATTTTTACGACTTCACTTGATTGTTGAATTATTTCATGTTTAATTTAATCAGAGAATCGTCAGGTTTCCTTAAATTGAATAAAAACTATATTAAACCAATTATAATTTCTGATTTATTAAAATTTCAGTACCCTGTGACACACCAAAGCAAAGATATAAGAAACAGAAGATTACTTCGTCATCTTCTGAAGAATCAGACAGAGGCACTAAGAAACTGCTCGGTCTAGCAAATTCTACAACAATAAGCTCTATACTTGATAAGGTATTTATTATACATTATAAATTTATTTCATATTTAATACAAAGACATATTAAAGTCTTATCTCGACTTCCTCTATTATGTTTTTAGAATTATGATAACAATTACATATATATATTTCGTAATATTTTTATAGTGTCCTTTATCTGTGTAATTATTAATATATTTTATTATATATTTGTTTAAATCCCATGTGTATGATGTATATACATTATATTCTACTAACAGAGACTACTATTTCACAGTAAACACTACTTTTGTACGTCTCAATGTGTGTTTGTATTTTTTAATCACTTCCTTGTGTTGTTTTGTCTTTCATCAAGTATATGTCATTGAACATAAATCAAGCATTTGAAATATCATTTAGTTCATAGTTCTTATATAGCCATTCTTAAATATAAGATTTATATTTACTTAAAAAAATTATGCAATTACATTTTTCTGTTGTAAATTGTGTGTTAAGAAAAAGGTGTAATAATTGTATTTTTATTTTTTCAATCATTTTCAATCATAATATATTCAATTTATGCATTGTCTTAGAAGACTTTAAAAATATATTATGCTTGGGTGAATATGAGAACAAATTAATATGCAGCCTTATTGTTACAAGCTTTCTGCTCCCATCTTCGCCCGCGTGGAGTTCGGTTATATCGCGTTTCCAAGAGAACCTTTCAAAAGTCTGGGATAAAAACTATCCTATGTTCTTTCTCAAGGTCAACTCTATTTCTGTACCAAATTTCATTAAAATCAGTTCAGTGGTTTAGGCGTGAAAGCGTAACAGACAGACAGACAGAGTTACTTTCGCATTTATAATATTAGTAGGGATAAGAACTTTTAATATTCAGTATCTATGAGACTGATAGTCTTGTATCAGATATAGAGGATAGAAAAATGCATACATTATTCTATCATACACATAGTAGATAGAAGACTTTAAAGGAATTATTAAAATATATGTATTATACATTAAAGGAATTGATAAAACATTCTTAATAGCAAAATATACTTAAAATAATAGCGCATTATATATTTCACCAACTTATGTACATCTACATATATGACCTTTAATTTTTTTCCAAAATATTTTGTAAATGTTTATGTTTTTATATTTCAGATCATTGAGAGAGCTATCAAAGGAAAACCAGAAAAAAAGATCGAAGTTAAAATAGATGAACACAAATATATAATATTCCCCAAGGAATCTTAACATTTGTTGAGGAGTTTAGACAATTTATAGAACAATTAGTGATGTCTTTATGGACATAGCCGATGCTGTTTTAGGAAAACTTGTTTTAACGACTGCTCTTGTATTATATGTTATTTTCATATTCTGGGTCAACTTATATCCCTTTATTGACGACGGTGAGTACAATAAAATATATATATATATATATATATGTATATATGTATATAAATTGTTATATCATGCAATATGTCTATTATAAATGACTTCGCTGTTGTATAAGTTACTTTGTATAGTAAATATTGATAATAATCAATACCAATTGAATGTTTGTCAAAAATCTTTTGAGGGCTATTCGTGTTTAAATAGCTTATAATATATTCATAATCTTATAGTTTCTTATTTTATATATACTATACATATTTTTGTCCTCGACTTCATTTGAAAAGAATGTATAAAGAGATATACAGGGTGACTGGTGAATTACTATCGATACTTGAGGACGTGATATTTGACGATCATATATGACAAAATAAAAATTAATATAACATAAATATTAATAAACTTCTAAGTAAAGTTAACCAAAAGTTATGTAATTAATTACGCATCGTGTGAACACCCTACAGATTAGGTATACACATACACACACACACATACGCGTGCGCGGCGTGGTGTTGTATCAGCACGCCGCCGCACGCGTCCACACTTGGAACACTTGGAACGTGTCAACACTTTATTTATTTATACGGAAATTTTGTCAAAAATTAAGTGCCTATTTTTTTTACATAATTCGAATGAGAATCATGTACCGAGTATTCTCCTTAAATATTGATAGTAATTCACCAGTCACCCTGTATATATTAGTTTTGACTAATTTTGTTCACGATTACTGTGAAGTAAATATAAATGTTAATTTAATAATAAACTAAAATGTAAAAAATATTAGTAATTATTAAATATTGTTTAATAACAAACAAATTGTATGTTTGTCTTGTGCTTGCTGATCAATCTTTATTTCTATTGCCGTCTTATAAGTATAGAGACTGGGGCATAAAGTAGTTTTATAAAAACTAACTATATGTATATATATACTTACATATGTATGTCTCATATTTAATGTCAGTTTTCATATGTTAGAATTCCTAGTTATATTTTAAGCATGTAGCAATTTGTTAACGGTACTTGAAAAAAACAATTGCTTAACTTTTAATCATTCTCTTCTCATATGTTAATGGCGCGGTAAGTTTTGTGATAAGTAGTTTAGATAAATATGAATTTGGTGTATTTTTATGATATGGGAATAAAATACTTTAAATTATGAACACGGAGAATAATATATTAATGGGCATAATAATATTCAAGAACAAACGATGTAATGTTAGTTTTTAATATATTAATAAGAAAGGTTGTATCTTTGAAGACTTTTTTGCTTTCAAATCGGTCTACTATATGAGATATTTTGGTTACAAGAGAAACAGTAGAACTTAGAACTTAGTGCCAATACTAGGTGATTGTCAGATTTTCTTAAATTTTCTAAAGATACAACGCTATATAAAATCATTAGGTATTGTGTATAAAAGTTGTCATGAATTAACCAAAATTCAAACGAAGTGTAGGTAAATGTTAAAGATGATTTTTCGTGGAAATATTTAAATTCAAAGGAAATTATAATGTAATGGAACTATTGTTAATTATCTAATTTCAAAGAATGGTTTTAGCGAGAACTCAAAGAGACTAGTTTAAAGCATATTCGTTCAATATATAAAAAAAAGAATATTGACAACCAGCATTATATATGAGACACAATCTAATACTTGCACGTCCAACGAGACAAGATAAATTTTATAAACAAACAATTAGAACTCTGTCACATTAAGTTTTGTTGCTAATATTGTATGTTTCTTTTCAGATTTGTGGTTATATCAGTATATATTGGATCCAAAGTGGGTGTTACTGTCGTGCGCGCTCTGGGGCTTGTCGTTTGTAGGAGGCCTTATGTTGTTCACGTTGTACCACGTGTACCCTCACTTGTGAATAAGGCGCTCCACAAACATACACGTGTGATAGGCCGACCACACGCGTGCCTGTGTCATGAATATATACGAAATATTAGATATATAGAGAATAAGAAGACTTCCGAATGTCCCACCCCAAATACTGAACCATTTAAACTAAGAATATACATAATATTAAGACGTCTATATACTAAAATAGATTTCAATATGGCCGAGTGGATAGTTATAGGCATTTCCGGTGTCACGTGCGGCGGGAAAACTACGCTCGCTAATAAATTAAAGGAGGCATTATATCCGGTGTACGTGATGCATCAAGATAAATACTTTTATAGCGACGATAGTCCAAAACACGTGAAATGCGAAGGCTTGGAACATAATAATTATGATATATTGAGCGCGTTAGATATGGAGGCCATGTATCGTGATGTTATGAATACTATGCGTGGGGCAGACGGGGACCTTTCCCAGGGCGAGCGGGCGGCGGGGAAGATACATCTGCCAGGAAAGAAGTTTCTGATAATAGAAGGCTTCACTGTACTCAATTATACGCCGCTTATGGATATATGTGACTACAGGTACGTATAGTTTACTACTATTTTTTTTTTAGGCAGATAGGCAGTAGTCACTATCACTTATGGACATTGAATATAAGAGATTTTGTGAATGGTTTGCCAATCTTGATTGTTAAAGAGGGATAGAATGTAGGTGGTAGAGCCTAGCTGTAGTCAGTTACTACAGCTCGAACATGGGCTGGCTCGACCGTGGAAGTACCACCCTCACACAGAAGATCGGCGTGAAGTAGCCTTTAATGGCTGCGTTTCGTCCGATGAGTGAGAGAGCCGGTTGCCCTTTCCCTAATCCCACCCTTTCCTACCATTTCCTTATTCCCAACCCTCCCTATCCTTAAAAAAACAAGGTTGGCAACGCATCCGCAACAAACATGTTGCGGATGTCCATGGGCGACGGTAACCGCCTTCCATCAAGTGGGCCGTCTGCTCGTTTGCCAGCTTTCCCATAAAAAAAAAAAAAAAAAAAAAAAAAATAGAAAATAGTGGGAAAGAGAAAGCATAACCCAGCCATTAAAGCCTACTTCACGCCGATCTTCTGTGAGAGGGTGGTACTTACATGATCGAAACAACCAATATTTGAGCTGTAATAACTAGTCTCTACCAAACTACTGTAATAAGACATATATGTATGTCATGAACAAAAACAGTTTTTAGGATTTGATAAATTCTGTAAGGGTTCGATACAGAAATTATTAACTGTTACAAAACTACACTTAGATAAAAAATATGTAGTTTTTGATTGATAGTTCTAGTATTAACATCAAGAGATTCTTAAAACGTACTTCGACAGCCCTAGTAGGTTCTTTTCAAATTTTGTAGAAAGAGGAGTTTGAACGGTAGTGAGCGTTTAACGCGTCCCTTAAACCTACACCTGGGTCACAAGTCCCAGTCACTGTTGAAGCTCCTCTCACTACAACGATGGACCCGACATACGCATATGATTACATTGAATGATAAGCCTTATCATTGTAGTTCATTGACCTCTTTCTGTCAGGTATTACATCGTGTTAGAATACGGTGAGTGTTTCGCTCGTCGCGCCCTACGTCTATACGAGCCGCCAGATGTAGCTGGATACTTTGAAACCTGCGTGTGGCCCGAACACATCAAGTATAGGGCACAGGTAATAATATACATCCCTACTAATATTATAAATACGAAAGTAACTCTGTCTGTCTGTTTGTTACGCTTTAACGCCTAAACCACTGTACTGATTTTAATGAAATTTGGTACAGAGATGGAGTTGATCTTGAGAAAGAACATAGGATAGTTAGTTTCAGAATTAGAAATGTATATCTGACTGGACGAATTCTATTCCTCCTTAAAGACAGTAGATCAGATTTTGGATTTGAACCTATTTATTGTTCTTTTTTAAGATTAAATTATGTTCTTTCCCTTGTTCTAATCTATCACTTCACAAATTTCCAGCCAAACCTGCACAGTGGTTCTTGAGTTACAAATAGTGTAAAGAAATATACAAATAGTATTTAGTACGAAATCCTTTTTTATATACATTATAAATTTCAAATATCTATATATATAATGTTTTCTTTATATATACAGATAGAACGAGATTCTCGAGTTACAATCATAGATGGCGCTGGCTCCGACCCCTTTTATATAGTGATGGCCGACTTAAAGAAAGCCGGTGCGAGGGAAATAGATAATTAAATATAGAAATAATTATGAAATGATATTAAGATAATTAAATATACCGATGGAAAATATTATTTTGTTTCAATTGCACAAAATTTATTAAAATATAATACAATAACATCTATTTACAGTGGTTTTATCGAGTTTATTCGTCACTAAATACGATATTATTTTTTTTTTACATACGTTTCTACGTTATAGTATTAACGTGGCTTTTCACGTGATACGGGACACGCTGTTTGTGTAGTGACGATGACTCGTAAACACTGTATGTGATGTGTTTTTGGTAATTTAATATACATGAAAATTTGATCAATTATTTTATATATTTTCTATGTTTTTGTAAATTTTGGAATAAATGCTGATAAAATTATAAGTTAAACTGTGTTTTATTTAACTGCATAATGTTTTAATTAAAGTTTCAATTTTTAAACGGTTCTTTTTCAACCGACTTAGAAATCATCTCCGTCAGTGAAATACGTACAAATACTCACATCATTGAACATGAGTTAGCTTTGATGCCTTTTTATATACATTATGGTTTGCAAAAATTATTAAAAAAATATAGAAAAGAAAGTTTATTTATAAGACTAAATTAATTAATTAGTTTTACTCCATTACAACGATTTTCATGTGAAAGGGTTTTGAGACGGCCTTGTATGGGACTTTCCTAGTGTGTCAGGAAAATGTTGTTAAAAATAATTATAAAGGCGTAATAATTACGAAATTATTGTTTAAATTATATAAAGATGTCTATCTATCTTTTGTGGTCGTGTCTGTGTGTGTGTGTGTGTGTGAGTGTGTGTGTGTGTGTGCGTGCGTGCGTGTGTGTGTGTGTTTACTCACACTCCTCCTCCGTCACAGAACTTGCGGCTCTCCCGAGGCTGGTCCTCTTCAGGTAAGGTTGAGTCAGCGGAGCGATGTTCAGCTCGGAGAGAACTCACAGCGACCTCTGGCGACACTGAGCGCTTCATACGATCCTCTAGACTGAGGAAACGAACAGATATTTAATCAACTTTTATTATGAATAAATAGCTGAATTGCTATACCTAATATATAATAAACCAAATTTACCAACTTGAATCCATACAGACGGCGTTTAGTAATAGAACATTGATATGTTTCTTCTAAAAACTCTTCTCCCAAACACCTGTTACTTATATTCAGTGTACTATAAATAGACTCACCTATTATGGTTGACCTCTGTGAGTTGTTCAGGAGTGAGTGTTTGTGATACATGCGCCACTCGGGGCAGAGCGTCATCAGCCCTTAGTACGGGCAGGGTGCGGGACAGGAAGCGAAGAGTGTGGTTACGAATTAACTCACTGGAACATTCACATAGTATGATAAGTCTTAGCATATTAATGATTCATTATCTCATGTATATTATAAATTTAATATCGTTTGGATACCACCGCAGATTAATATGTATCTACCTTAGTTTTTAATCAAAAATTCCTTGTAATTCCTTAAAGGCATAAAAGATAATCAATAGATAGAGCCGTCAGTTGGGTATCGTGTCTTAATTACTAAGTTTTAATTGTTATTTTGCCTCTAAGCTCCTTCTAGAGGCAGATGAAGTCGTGGTCATAACTAGCCAATTATAATCGATTATTGAGTTTAAAAACGTGGTATAAAAGATAGGTATATTTAGCATAAAGACATAAGCAATAGATGGAGCAGTCAGTTGGTTATCGTATTTTATTTAATTAAATTTACATTGTGAATTTGCCTCTAAGCCCCATTCTAAAGGCAGACAAAGTTGTGGGCATAATAAGTCAATCATAATCTATTTTTAAGCTGGAATACTCCCGTTCTACAGGTAATGCAGATAAAGTCGAGGGCAAATCTAGTCAATTAGAAACTCTTTTTAAGTTAGTATACTCACAATGGATAAGGCTCTCCATTAGGACTCTGCCCCATAGGATTCCTGGGTATCACTCCTCTGTTGAGGTCTCCGCACAGGTTGTTGGCGCTCACGTGGGCGCGGTCGCTCACGGCCGCACATTCTGATGACACTTGTTGATACGGAGGAGGACGGACTCTGGAACAAAATGATCACGAGATTAAAAATAAATGAACATCGCCGGGGCATATCGTTGTATAGATAAAATATCATATAACGAGTGACGCTGCTGACTCCGCGGAACGAACACCAAGCCGTGTGAACCAGAAGATTCCTGATACCACACAAGCTATGGAATGGTATTGCTATCCTAACATCGGGACAATCATGTAGTCTTAGGTGTAGGTTGTAAGTATTAATACGCATTTTTTATTATAATATACATATAAGTACCTAAATTTCGTAGTTTTCCTGAAATCTTTGGATGCCACCCTATATAAATAGATAACAAAGAAGTACGAAAATAAATTGAACTTGTCAACAGCTCTCAATGGATAGTCATTGAAAACACCAACGACGAGTCTTGCTCGAATGCTGACTATAATAACTATTGTTTCTTCTTTCTTCTCTCTTATACTTTTTCATCTTTCTTCTATATTACATTAGTACATTTTGATTTGGTATCACTCCTCTATGACTTAAACCGTAATAAAAATTCCCATTGGAATAAACAAGAAGGTAAGTAAAGAGTTGTCTCAACTTGTTTGATTTGATTGATTTGAATTACGATGAAATACTAATTAAAGCATTCGTGAAAATCCTCTCCCTTATTAGAGTGTTATTAGAAGCAGAATATCTATAGACCCGGTATTTAGAAGCTTTTTCTCAAGTTAATAAGTAAATCGTTGGATAAAGTTCAATTATTAGGTGTACAACTTTGCTTCCGCCGTTTTTTTCCGAAATTCGAGGCTTTATTGTAAAAAACTGGTTATACATTTATGATTCAAAGTATTGTCCATCGCTGGCCACTACTTTCTCCCATCTTTCGGGCAGCATACGAATCCCGCGTTGAAAAAACTGGTCCTCTTTTGAAGCGATCCACAAATAGATCCAATTTTTAACTTCTTCATAAGACCGGAAGTGCTGGTCAGCCAGGCCTTGTGCCATTGATCGAAACAAGTAATAGTCCGAGGGAGCAACGTCTGGAGAATACGGCGGGTGGGGTAGAACTTCCCATTTCAACGTTTCCAAGTATGTCTTGACCACTTTCGCAACATGGGGTCGAGCATTGTCGTGCTGTAAAATCACTTTATCATGTCTCTCGTTGTATTGCGGCCGTTTGTCTTTCAATGCTCAGCTCAAACGCATTAATTGCGTTCGGTAACTATCGCCTGTGATTGTTTCAGTCGGTTTTAACAACTCATAATGCACTACGCCGAGCTGGTCCCACCAAATACAGAGCATACCTTGGAACCGTGAATATTCAGTTTGGCCGTCGACGTGGAAGCATGGCCGGGATATCCCCATAATTTTCTGCGCTTGGGATTATCGTAATGAACCCATTTTTCGTCCCCAGTCACAATGCGATGCAGAAATCCTTTCCGTCTTTGCTTTGCAAGCAGCTATTCACAAGCAAACAAACGCCGTTCAACATCTATCGGCTTCAACTCGTACGGCACCCAATTTCCTTGTTTCTGAATCATTCCCATGACTTTCAGGCGTTTTGAAATGGCTTGTTGCATCACTCCCAATGATCCTGCCAATTCTTGTTGCGTTTGACACGAGCCTTGATCAAGTAATGCCTCCAATTCTGCATCTTCGAAAATCTTCTCTCTTCCACCGCCATGCCGTTCTTCGACGTCAAAATCACCGTTCTTGAAGCGTTGAAACCACTCTCGGCACGTTCTTTCACTAATAGCCACCTCACCATAGGTATTTGAGAGCATTCAATGAGCCTCAGCCGCAGATTTCTTCATATTAAAGCAGAAAATTAAAACCTCCCGCAAATGACGAGAATTTGGCTCGTAAGCTGACATGTTTAATCGAGAATAACTTTATGATGCAGACACAAATCGACTAATATTTCGATGTCGTTATGTTTACAAATGCCTAAGCTTATTGTATGACATCTACGATCTATTTATTTCGACTACCACTTACCGCTACAACCATCTATTGCAAAACGGCGGAAGCAAAGTTGTACACCTATGTATCAACGACTGTTGTGTGTATAAAGTTAGTGAAAGTCAGTCGAAGCAACTTGACTGGAGATATAAACAAACCGAGTGAGAGCAGAACTCACTGGAGGACTTGCTGTTGGAGATAGGACGTTGAACATTACGGTCAGATTATAAACTGTTTAGATTTACCCCTTTACGATAAATTAAATCTATTAATCATATATTACTTATCATCGCATACTATGTATAAAACAAAGTAGCTTTCTCTGTCCCTAGTATGCTTAAATGCTTTAAAATTACACAACGGTTTTCAATGTTTTTTTTTTTAAATAGACAGAGTGATTAAAGAGGAAGGTTTATATGTTAAATAATATCCATGAAATAGTGGAGAAATACTTTTATTTTTGAGGTTTTCAATATGATGTCATGAATAATATGTTTTTTCCGTTAACATTACAAACGCAAGCTGAACCCTACCATATTCATCATAATAATGTACCTACTAAGTATTGTACACATTGAAAAGGTCTACAGAAAACTCCGAGATAGTATATGTCTATATCTTAAGGATATCTCATAACAACATTTTTCTGTCATTTACCTTTAAGACAAATAAAAGCTAATTTACGAAGTGATTTTAACCAATACACCATTAATCTTTATCCAATTAAATACTTTTAATACATTTTTGAATTAATATAGGTCTATATAGATCTTTATACCTTTACGGCATATGATATATCGGATAACTAGTAATAGAATTAGTCAATATATTTATCAGGCTTATTTGCTACAGTTAAAGTTTTTACAGACTATTTATATGTATTTATTACTGTTTATACCTTGGAGGCGTCGCGTTTGGAGACTCAACGAAGGCGTAATATCCTTCTGGTGGTTCTTCAGACTCTGCTTGATTATTATCTGGCGACGGTTCCACTGCTGGTTCCGACACACATGTTGACAACAACGCCTGGAAACAAACAACCATTTAATTAACTGAAGGTATCAATTAAGTTATATTCATACATATTAATCGTTCTAAATACCAGTATAAAATGAACTCTCCCTCGGGCGTGCAATCTAGTTAAATCAATATTAATGTTGTGTATGAAACTGTAAATCTCGTTTTCGCTATCTGGATGGAGTTATATTGACCATATAAGATCAAAAACGGCGCCAAACGAATGCCAATGGTATTTGTATCTTATTTATTAGCGATAAGGTTTTAATTCTAACGTACGGTTGAAGGACCGTTAGTGACCTGCATACTTGAACGTTTTTATTCACTCCGAAGATAAAATCAAGTCGTTTATTCCTAGTTTGTTTGTTAACTTTACGTTAAACGTCTCGTCAAGTGTTAGAAATGATTTGAGTTTTGTTTTTGATACATTCAGAAGTTAAAAATAACTGTATAAATTTCACATCACACGATAAATTATAGTTGAACATTTCATGGTATTACTTGGTTCTTTTCTTCTTCTACCTGGCAATTTCCCAGCTTTAGCAGAATCTGTCTTATATGTTGTGAATAGTTTTGGCTAATTGTTTTTACAACCGGCCGCCTGCCTGACATCAAGCCTCTTTGGGAATGCATTAATCAGTGATGTCTAAATACTCTTATAAAGTAATATGAGTCGAAAATCACATTGGTACTTGCCAGGGCCAGGTTAGAACCCGCGCACACGTGCATGTGCGGCGGGCCTTTTAACCACTAGGCCACCACTGACTTTCTTACTTGGTTAATCAAGAGTTAAATAAGTTGGTATCAAAACTTCGTATATCTGTTGTGTGTATTTTCTCTTTATTTTTGTTTATATCGTAAACACGTGAGTGAAGCCACTTTCATATGAAAGTCGAATTAAATTTTATGATCTAATAAAAGTTAAAAATTACACCCATAGTTTACGATTATTGTAAACGAGCATGGAAGATTTAGATTAAAACTAGATTTGGGAGATTTAATTAACTTTTTGTAGCAATTTAATTTAATGTTTCTATTATAAGAAATACATTACAAAATTTGGAAGAAGTCTTCAGACCAGTTAACGTAAATTGTTTTATCAAAATATACATTGAAAGTGTAAAATATTTATATAACCAATATTAATTTACGAATTTTTGTCGCCATTATCCTTGTAATTAACATTTAACAAAATGGCGGGTTAAAATTTTATCCTTCAATTAAAAAGTTTTCATTTTATTGAAGTATAAACTTCTATAAACCTTTATTACGTGCAGTAATTACATCAATCGAAGGTTTAGTCTAGACTTTCTAGATATAAAAGTACATTGCTATCTATGGTGATAAAACTAGACAGGTATAGATTTCACTTTTTAAGTTATAAGACTAAAATGAATAGTATATACCTACTTGTTTTCCTTTACTTACATCACGTTTATTTTGCTGTGAATGGCAATATTTTTAAGATAATTTGTTCTGCTGTAAATAATGAGTGATGAAACACCTTCATTATATATGAACACCGTAATATAACTCGTAATCATAGAAAATTACCTCAATCTGGGTCGACGAAGTTGGATTTTGACAAGATAGTACATCACAATGTAATACTGTATTCTTTAGATGATTTTATATATATATATTTCGGAGATTTTTGCGAGTTTTATTCATTTAAATGAAACTAAAATTTTTCGGATATACTACGCATTTACTGCATTATTATTACTACATTCACATCTTGTCTTAATGATCACGGTAGCTGAAAAGTAGTCGAAACGTCGGAAATATGTAGTTTTTTACAAAACTAATCCGAAAAATATTAATTTCATTTAAATATCTTTGTATTATTTTAGGTTTTTCTCATTAAAGGCTCGTCTAATATATATTAGATAGTAATTTTCTTTAAAACAGAATAGTCATACGTAAAATGTAGTCCAAGTATTCATTCATAATAACATAGAGAGAAACTCGATGTACGACTGGAGATCCGTTAGCAAGGCACATACAGAGCGGAACTGGGGCTTACTGGTGGCTATCAACATATACATATATAATAAACATATTAATATATACTATAGGGATTTTAAAGTATTATAATATGTTGAGCAATTAGCTTTTATTAAAGCTACAGCTTAAAGTTAAATAAAACTTGTTTAGCTTGATCTGCAATATCATAATTTTAATGTTCTAATTTTCGTTTGATTACAAAGTATCAAATTCTAAGGCTACAAAGTATTTGTACTTAAAATGAAAGTATCTACATATAGTTAGAAAATTCTTCTTCTTTAAGATAATTATGAAAACTTATTAAAAATAGTGTTTTATTTAATAGGTCTTAACATAACTTTCTCTATTTATTAAGTAATACGTTTTTAAATACAATTTCTCTATTTTTAACTACAATTTATTTAGTTTTAATCTATTCTCCATAGTGTATAAGTTTCCTCAGTTATATTATAACCCTATCTAAGTCGTAGTTAACGCGTGTCTGTAACTAGGTCACAGTGTGTACAGTACAATACATTCACGGTGTCTTCACACTACAATATTTTCCTTAAACTTTTAACTTTAATATAAAATCACTTCCATATAACCGGTATTTTTTATATATTCATGTATTTAAATATTATTTTAACTCAAACGTCGTATATTTTTCTTATGATACGCATGTAAGTTTAACATTATGACGTCATCATACTGAGACCTACAAAATATTAAACAGAGAAATGTTTCTGTTATTTTCTTTATAATCCATTCTCATTTATATTCAAAGTGTAAGACATTCTTGTACAGTGATAGTAACCTGAAAACCTAATTTAGGAAATAATAAACATGGCCAAGTGCTGCCGGTCTGTCAGTCCGTTGGTCTGTCGGTCCGTCGGTCCTCCGGTCCGTTAGACCGGTCGACCTTCACCCAATAAGGTCGTCGAACCCACATTCCTTATCAACCGTTGTCATTATGGATTCAATAGTTGTATAGTATGTGCTAATTTGTTTATTGTTGACACGAATACGCTCAAAAACTGTTGTTTTTGAATGATTTTTATATAAACATGTTTGAGATAACTTTATAAAGAGATTACACAAATATACCTTACACTATATTATAATAGATTCGCTATGATTTAAATCATGTATAGATTTTAGTAAGAAAAAATACATCTGTATATATAAAAGAAAGTCGTGTTAGTTACACTATTTATAACTCAAGAACGACTGTACGGGTTTGGATGAAGATTGGTGGAGAGTTAAATTAGAACATAGAAAGGACATAGGATACTTTTGAATTCGGTAGACCCAAAAACAAAATAATATAATCCAAAATCTGTTTATGTACTGCCTCTAAATCGAAGTTCGACTGGTCAGCTATACATTTCTAATTATAAAACTAACGCGGAAAAGCGCGAGCAAAAACTATTAAATTATAAAAAATATATACAATAAATAATATTATTTTCATTCTTTATCAATAAAAACAATACTTCAAGCCTTATTATATTTTAACAAGAAACATAAAACCCACTTTGACAGAGCGTCGGTAATTTGGAATAACGACGTCTTCGATACAAAAAAAAACAATGAAAGTAATTTTTTTCATTTGAAAGTGTTGACGTCAAAAATTCTGTTCAAACTCGTGAAAGTGTAACGGAACATAACCTTCCTTGTTTGAAATTATATTTTTTATTACATTATTATAAAGAAATAGTCAGTCAGTCAGTCAGTGGTGACTTAGTGGTTAAAAGACCCGCCTCTCATACAAGACGGCGCGGGTTCGATCCTGGCAAGTACCAATGTGATTTTTCCAAGTCATATATACTTTCTAAAAGTATTTAAACATCACTAATTAATGCATTCTCAAAGAGGGTTAATGTCAGGCAGGCGGCCGGTCGTAAAAACAATTAGCCAAAACTATACATGTAAGGCAGACCCTGGCTAAAGTTGAGAAATAGCCAGGTAGAAGAAGAAGAAATAAATAATATTTAAAGACACAAAAATCTATTTCCAAATGACTCACAAACGAGTCACCATCGTTTAATTAAAACGTTATTTAAAAGGTCAAATGTCATTTCTAATTTTATATCTTTTAAATCTAATTGATATGAAGTAAAATATAAAGATATATGTTTATTATTGAATATTTGAAACGCTATAGAAATTTAATTGTCTTCATGTAACACACAATTTTTAACTAGTTCTGGCTAATGCTGTCTAAATTATGGTCAAGTGGAGTTCAAGTAATGTGAATGTTCGTTTGTTTATGCTAAAACTACTAAACTTATTTATGTATCTATTGTAAAGCAGATTATTAAAATTGAGAATTTCCACATATAAGAAATTAATATTTTTTTATGTCGCTTTAGACCTAAACTATTCAAACAAAAATAACTTTAAACGAATTATTATAATTTCTAAATATATATCCACGTGTAGTTTACATCGTTATGGTAGTTCTAGTATTAAAACGAGGTCGAGACTACTTATACAATATTCATTAGTAACGGGAAGAGACACGGTACAGAACATGTATTTACAATAGTCTAGATATAAAGGTACAACAGTCAACAAGTCTAGACTGATACAACAAAGACTAGATACAACTAGTCTAGACTGAATCTATACTAATATTATAAAGCTGAAGAGTTTGTTTGTTTGTTTGTTTGAAAGCGCTAATCTCCGAAACTCCTGGTTCGAATTGAATAATTCTTTTTGTGTTGGATAGTCCAGTTATCGAGGAAAGCTGTGGGCTGTATAACATCACGCTACGACCAATAGGAGCAAAGATATAGTGGTAAATGTGTACAAAACGGGAGAAATTATTTCATCTTTGAAGCCTTCCGTTGCGTGCGCCGTGAAAACGGTTCAAGATACACAAAAAATATGTATTAAAGAATAATAGCTCTTTTAATGATCTAAAAAACAGTCCGCGACAGTATATGTCTATCTTTTAAGATTAACTCACAAAAACCGTTTTTATGGTACCTAATTTGGTCGAAATAATTTGTTTAAGTTGTATCAAAATAATAATA